CGGGATCGTCAATGCTATCTTTCTCACTCATGCCAATGAAGGTTATAAATGACGGAAAAATAAAAGGCAATTGAAAAAGGCGATTCCTTTCTGCCAAATGAAGTTCAACCCTTACTATTTTTGTATAGGGTCGTGCAGTAGTATAAGTATATCTGAATGGGCTATGTGGCATTAATACTGTAATTTCCCTTACGTTAAGCTAACTAATTATTTATAAAAATATTAATTTATAACATTGTTAGTGAACTTCATGTAACAATATGTAAAAATAAAAGGTCAGATATTGTCTTCACTTTAGTATGGTCAGATATATCGACATGTTTAAAGAAGTCAAAATGATATGAGTGCTAAATGTAAGTTTTACGTTAACGCGTTCACAAATAAGTGCTTTTAGAATTTGTATGGAGATTTGTACTTAGTTCTTGGTATTTACCGCTAAGGGCGCTGTCACAGATGCCATACTATAAACTTAACGCGCTCACGGTAGACGGTGAACGTTAACGTCAAAATACTTGACAAATATGACTTAAAAGTATTATGTTAGCAACCCGTTTTTGCATTTTTATACAAGCTATTCATTTTTATTTTTATTCAGCCATTTTGCAATGGCACATGTCAATGTTTCCTAATAAAGATCTAACATAGTTATTTTATAAATGTTGATTATATGTTTTGACAACTTTGGCTGTTGACAACGATTATAACTATTTTTATAGTTTTATATATAAATCAATAAATGCTCATCAAATCCTGTTGTCTACTTTAGACGTTTCAATTTATCTGATGTCGACTATAAACTATGCGATATTATTTTTTTGAAATCTCTTTTATTTCTTACAAGACATAAAATTTAAATAAGAGTACCTAAGTGATGTAAATATTGTTATACATAGATATACATAATAAACAATTTACATAAGTAAGTACATTTCATTAATATGCTGTTTTATTTAAAATATCTTGCAATGCAACTCGGCAGTCCGTCTCAAAAAACAAGTCATTAGAGGTCTTTCTTCAGTCCAATTTTTCCTATGATATATCATAGCAAAAATAACAAAATACTATAAGGATGCGGATTACATCGCGGCGGGACCTGTGTAGGGATATCTACGGAACGAATGGAGTTATCAAAAATCGAGTCAAAATAATAAAATAATCGGGATCCGACAACATCACATCACATCAGGACTGTCCCGCAAAATTCGGGTCGAGTGGCACCCTGGAGGAAACATCAAGTAATTTGAAAGTAACCCAAGAGACTTTAATATTATAAGCAGTGGCGGACTAACCTGATCGAAGGCCCGGAGCGGCAATACGTCCCAGATTGTCAATTTTTTCCAACAAGGGCAGAAAATAGATATTGCGATTACACCCCCCACGCGCTTACATTTTAACTTTATTCAATTATGATAATTTTAGCGGATAGCTACAGCCCATTTGGAAGCCCCCCAGGATCGGAGTCCCGAGACAGACCGGGACGAAAAAATATTTGATTACAAACTTGGGCGTTTCCTAGTTAAGCTATACCTTTATCTAGGTTAGTGAAATTGGATGTAATTTACGCATATCAATGAGTGTAAGTTTACACATAACAGTTTTAATACTATACATATTAATTCATATTCTATGAGAAATGTTTAAAAAATCCACTTTGTCCCTGGCATTCTGAGATGGGACACAAACCTTGACCATGACCTTTCGTAATCCGGGCGACTGCTCTCACCACTGAGCAACCAGGACCTAACAGGACTGAAGATTTTTTAAAACACTTGTATCCATTATTCTTTAAGAATATTTTGTACAGCATTGTTAGTGCGAAATTGATCAAATATAGAATTAATTTATACCTTTCAGCGGCTTATGCCTAACATAAATTGGTTTCGAGTGTTCCGTAGGTAAATATATAAAGTCAATGCCAGAAGCTCGCACAGTGTACCTACTCCACGTACAAGCTTATACATATTTTTAAGAATGTAATGACATACGTATATCCAGAGATGTGACTTATCTTAGATACAAGTATTTGAAATACAGATACAAGATACAAAATACGTATTTTCATCTTGTATCTAAAATACTTTTTTTAGGAAGTATTTTGTATCTTTTATTTAAATACTTTTGTTTAGTATCTTAGTATCTTTTAAATACTTTTTCTGATAAAATACTTTATAAAAAGATTATTTCTTACATTTTATAAATATCACAAAACATTATCTGCCTAAAACATACATATTTACAAAAAGAAAGTGTTCAATTATCAACGCAATGAATATTTAGTTAAAAATAACTCGAATACAAACATTGTTTGGTGTCATTTAAAAAGTAAATGCGTAGAACTGAACGTACGGTTATACCGGTGTAATACACCCTCCCTAGTAAAAATTGATAGATGGCGCATAGGGCTTGAAATCGAATAACCAGTTACAAGCAATAAAAAATCTTGATTTATGTAAAAACCCGGTTATATGCTTTAAATAAAACTCAGTATATCAATTAAACTCATTATTAAATTTTATTATTTTTTTGCACATTATACTTTTTCCACGAACAACAGCATTCAAAAAGTTTACTTTTAAAGAAATTTCACTGTGAAATTCGATACATGGCAAATGCTTGAAATTATATTCCGTGAGCAAAGCAATATTGCTTTTATTGACTCAACAGTTAATCTTTTTCTATCTTTTGACCACTGCATATTCATGAGCGAAAAAAAAAACAATATTCGCATTATGAGGCATAATACAAAAAAAAATACTGACAAATCTTCAGTAGTTCGGAAACGAGTGCTGTCATTGCATATATTGAAAATAATTACCCACAGCTTTTCAACTAATTCGTCATAAAAATAAATTTGATAATAGAAAAAATTCTTCAAATAATTTCTTTGACATCGTCAATTAATACTCCTTTATTTTTCAAAAATACAACACAATCTGTGATGTAATTATACCAAAAAACCACTTACGTAACCATTTAATTTAAGGGATCTTTATTAAGAAACAACAAAAAAATGGGCGGAGTCCTGTCTTAATATTAGGTCTTTACCTATGTAATTACCGTTCTGCTGTACTAGCCATTTAAAATCAAACTATTTTTTTTGGCTGATAATTCAAATTATTTTTTCTAAAATCGTCATTTGTTCAATAGTAAGTGTTTTGTTTTCAATGCATTTGAATATTTTTCGTCGTCATGGATAAGTCAAAAATTCGAGTAATTATGGAGTATGTGTGCCATCGTGGCAGCAAAGCGGCACGCAACATTACAACGTTTGCAGAGCGAACACTACAAACGAACGCACCACCCGTTATTGGTTGACGAAAAGGTTGCTGTTTGGTGGTCTAACGCGGATGTATTTCATCACAGCTTCTTACCAAACAGGACGAGCATTACTGCAGATTTACTGTGTGTATTGTGAAGAACTGAACACAATAACGGAGAAGCTGGCACAACTCCAACCAGGTTTTGTCAATCGTTCGGTTCCACTGCTCCTGCACGACCACGTACGACCTCATACTACACAATTGGCGGTACCCAAGCTACAAGAGCTGGGGTTTGGAGTTCTCCGTCATCCGCCGTACTTAACAGACCATGCGCCTACATTAAAAAAATAAATTCCCGAGAGGCAGTACAAAATGCCTTTGAAGTATTTGTTGCCTCCCGTCCAGCTGATTTCTTCAAGAAGGCATCATTAAGCTACCAATGCGTTGGCAAAGATGTATTGACTGCATGGGTGATTACTTTGATTAATAGAAATAAGAAAATAAAGCTTCATTTATTTTATTAAAAACGGAAATTTCATAGATAAAGACTTAATTAATACTTCAAATCCGGTTGAGACCGGATTTATCCGATCAGATGGTAACTAATGGCGCATTACCAACAGTACCAGCAATACCAACTCTACGTCTTTTTAGGTACATCTACGTATTATAAGCCTTTCCTACAAACCAACGTACTATAATCAACCACAGAAGCTAAGTATTTTCTACTAAAAATTTTCAAATTAGCTTAACACACTAAAGGGGCATAATTTTCGGTAGTTCTGCAAAAAAAAAGTTAATATACGTTCCGTTACATACTATCGCACATTCACCTCGTCACAAGTCACGCCATTAATTTTAAAAACCAAGTACTGTATTTATTTTTACCCACTCTCTTCATCTCACTAGGAAAAAATAAATTTTCAGTTCTCCGTAATTTTACGTCGTACGTAAAACCAGCTTTTAAATAAATAATAATTTTATAATTAAATTTTAATAATTTTTCATTCACAATGCTATATTGAAAAAAAATATTATTAAAAAGGAACAAAAAAATTTAAAATAATTTAAACCTGATGTATTAAATATTTGCATTTTTATATGTTACATTGTGATTGACAAACAAATAAAACGGAGGAAAAGTGGGTGAAATTTAACTTGTAAGATTTGAGTACAAACACAGAAAACTAAATAAAAGCTTACAAAAATTGTTTCTAATGAAAAATGCTTAAAAAATCCACTTTGTCCCTGGAACCATCTGGTCTAAGATTTAGGTTTTTGTGGTCTTTAATAAACAAACTTACATTCAAATCTTTTTTTAGAAAAGTATTTGTATTTATAAAAAGTATCTACAAGATACCTATTTTGTATCTAGTATTTCAAATACTCTTCTCGAAAGTATTTCGTATCTGGTATCTGAAATACTTAATTTAGAAGTATTTTGTATCTTGTATTCCAGATACTTTGTACAGGGTATTTTGTACATCTCTGCGTATATCATTGTATTAAACAGATTTAATAGGTACATACTAATTTATCAGTGGAAGGGGGATGTAAATCGAGGTTTGCATAGAGCATCAAATAGTCTTAATTTCTTACAGAATAAAGTTTGTTATTGAATACGAATGCACCATTCATTACAGAATGCTGTCCGTTCCGCGCCTCTATAGTTAGTGAGTAGCTAAACTTTGAATGCTTGTTGCGTATTACGAAACGCTTATTTTATTTGTTTACTGCTGTCACTGTCAAAAGTTTTTGAGGTTATGTTTGTTTACTTACATTCTGCAAAGATTTACGTATTTATATATTACAATATAATATGATTTTGCTAATAGTTAAGAAAAAATGTATGTTTTATTAAGAACAACGAGATCTTCGAGACTTCGTGTTATAAACAAAATCCTAAACATCAAGAACTGCGAATGTACACGAAACATTCATAATGTGGGATTGAATGATATTCCTAAAATAACATCTACCGATATGCGTAAACTATTAAGGCAAAAAGGTTTTGCTGTACAAGATGGATTCACTTCATTGTCAACGAAATGCTCAATTTGTTCTAATGAGGAAAAAAAAGATAATAAGATTTATATTAACAAAACAACAGGTGTGTATCTGTTCCTTTTTTACCAATTATCTCATTACAACAAAATATATTAGGTACTTGAGTATTCAGCCAAACATACTGAATATGAACATAATTTTTCAGTATGCAGTTGAATATAACAAAAGCAGAATAGGCCGAATACCGAATACTAGCCGAATATTCGTTACAAATCTAATATAAATGTGAAAGTGCATGTTTGATATTGTTAGGTTGTTTAGTCACGTCGGAACGATTGCACAGATTTTTAGATAATATTTTCCATATGCACATGATTTACTGTAAATCTGCATATTGTGTTTTAGCTTCCAAATATCCAATTAGACCAATATAATATAGGATTGAATAGATCAATCCTTATTGATGTATTCAATCCTAGACCTATTCACAGCATGACAAACTCTAGAACGAAAATGTTCAAGAATCTTGAGGAATGGGTCGAGTGAGATATAGCCATATAATTTATCATTCTTTCTGTTTCTTGATTGATTAGTCAATTTCATTTTGATGTTTGAAAGCTGAAATATGATTTAAGATAATGAGAGCAGAGCAGCTGGTCGAACACAAAAAGATATTGACAGCATGTTATTGGAGATAGTTTCTACAAATGACAGATTCAAATTTCACTCAGACAACTAAGAGTCGAATATGGTATATTCAAAAAACTGTATAATACAAGCCCTTTATGCAGAACAGTCATGTTTTCTTACCTATAAGAATTTTTTTTCTTTCATTGATAATTATGATTTAAATTTAGTTATAACTAAAATTATGTTACATTTACATTTTAATCAATGTCCTAATTTTCCTTTCTGATAACTTTCATCAGGTTATTTTCTGTGCCCAAAATGTAATATTCATGGCGATTGGAACCTTCTCGAGAGACTACTCAAGAAAACCAAAATGGACACATGTTTAAAAGAGTTCATTGACAATTGCCAAAACAAATCCAAACAGTTTGAAACCGATTGGGTAAATATTACAAAAAACACAGTACCAATATCTGAATTAAATGATGGGGAGCTGTTAGATCTTTTTAGATTATTTGAATATCCTGTAAGTATAATAGATAATGTATGAAACTGTTCAACCAAATCTTTCAAATCTTCTAAACAAATAAATTGTTCCTACAGTATCATCATGAAATCAACAAAACTTTGTCAGATGTAAGAGTTTCTTCAGACCACACAATATTATACTTTCCGCTCAAAAATTCATTAGATAATATAGTGGGATACCGTAAAGTCCAAGCTGGCAAGGAAGATGAAGCTGAAAACCATGGACTCCATACAGCAGGCTTATTCTCCTGTAGAGTGCCTAAGGTGAACCGCAGTGATCAAGCTATACTAGTGCCAAATATTCAAGATATTCTTCATTTGGCTGCCCATAAAATACCAGGTTGTTATGCAAAGTAAAAATAGGTATTACAGATGTGATTCCGCGGGTCGTGACAGACGACGCCAGCAGCAAAGAGCGCAACGGCAGACGGTAGTACTTTACATCTTCTGTGTCTTTTCAGTATTAATATGTAAGTGACCAATTCCAAGATATCTCCCTCCCGACAGCATTTACTACCATCCTTCTGCCGTTGCCGCTTGCCGCGAACCCGCGAAACCGACTTAAGACAATGACTGAAGTCGCGGCGTGTGTCGATATCTTTTTAATATGCAGTTTTAGATTCATATCTTTAATTTCATAAGAATTATAGCATGGCACATCTTGGCATATCGTGGGACGCCGCGAGCATATTGTTTTTTTTTTTTAATCTTGTTCTCCACAAACTGTTTTATCTTCAATGTCATTTGTTTTTAGGAACTCTTGTATGGTTGAGTAATTGCAGCTTACCACCGATTGTATTACCTGCACTGGAGAATTACCAAAAGCTATGCCTCTGGGGAGATTGGGATAACATGCGATCCGTTGCTGAAAAACTAAGCGAGGACCGTTGTCGATTTGTCAGGTGAAATTATAATTATTTACAATATGTGCAACGGCATATAGAGTACCGAATTTCCATTATTGATAAAATAATGAAATGAACCTTAAACGGTTCCAGATAACTCAATGTATTTTTACATTCAATTGATATTTTGTGATCAGACCTACCGATGGCCTGGTAACCGCATCGGAAGCTGCTCATGCACAATTGTCTTTGAAAACGCTTGTGTCAGAGGCGAAACCTGCTGCACATCGATCCATCACAACATTTGCAGCCCTCCGAGATGATGTATATGCTGAGCTCACTAATATTGACAAGGTAAACGACTACAGCAACGACGTAATACCGCCGATATAGTACAAAAGGCAATCATATATATGTACTTCACTCTTCATACCTACGCTCGACAAACGAGCTAGGATGGTCAATTTTGCCTTATACAACCTGAATCTTTGAACAGATATAGTAGAAAAATAAAAAATATTTTTATTATTTAGATAACCAGTGAAACTTCTAGTAGCAAGTCAGCTCTTAGCCTACCAATCTTGATTTTTCAACTAAGCATGTCTTGCATTTTCAACGGAAAAATCAATAAGCGCAATATATCACTACAATTTAACTTATTTAGTTTGTTCTGAAATAATTATATTCATATTAACCCAAGTTTTCTCAGTAATTTGTAGGGTTTCTTTTTCATTCCTCACCTCACACATTCTGTCCATAATTTTCTGTAATCTTTCGGTCTCCATTTTTTTACCATATTATACTGAAAATTCTCAAAAATTGGTATATTAGGTCCGTGGAACAAAATGGCGGCGTTTTCCCGCGCTTACTCGTCTACTGGGCGGACACAGGCGTGGTGAACTGACCGTCCTCACTGGTCCCACCGGCTGTGGTAAGACAACACTGTGCGCAGAAATGTCGTTAGACCTGGCACAACAAGGGGTAAGTTCTATTATTAGCAAAATTTACACTTAAAGCTGATAGTAGAATAATTCGAACTGGAGAAAGCGAACGAAACGATTTAACACCTGACAAATTAACGGCAGTTAAGGTGGGTGCACCAATTAAGTAACACCATTTAAAAATAATTTTGATGAGTGACTCAATTATAACAACAACCATGCACTACCAACAAAAATCATTATACTCCTTATTAACCATACTCGTATAAAAAAAATAACCCAGCCCCGAAGTAAGAACCTTTTGGAAAAAAGTTGAAGATGACATGTAGTCGGGAAATGCAAAAAACTTAATACATTATTATATTTAATCAATTTCGCATTCACACATTTGCTATACTGAAAAATATTTCATAATGAAAAACGCTTAATCCCATCTCAGGGCGCCAGAGACCAAGTGGATTTTTAAAGCATTTTGTATTAAGTTAATACATATTTAAAAATTGAAACGGTGCACTACTACACTGTTTCCTGGTATGGGACTGCCGCACCCACCCTACTGATTTACGGATTTTTAAGTGCTTTCATAGAGAATATTCTATAATTTCTTCCAACTCCGTCGGAGCGGTTGATGATTATTCATTTATGAGCGTTAAGCTTCATTTTTAAAGATCTTTCCTAACGTACAATATTAAAGGACAATAGTAAAGCCCCCGTATTATGGAGTATCTGAGACAACAAAGGCACCACAACACCCAGATCTAAGATAATAAAAAAGTATATTTTCTACATTGACCCAACCAGGAATCGAACCCGTCATATACAAACTACTGCATTCAAGTGGTTCTCTAAAGCCCGTATTATATCTTTTCCAAAACTTCATATACAACATCACATACGTTAGTAAATTATTTAGTTATGTACCCATGTCTAAGAATAGTAGCTTATTTAAAAAAGCAGAACAATACAGACTTAACATTATCAGGTGAACACACTTTGGGGAAGCTTCGAGATACGAAACTCTCGATTAGCACGGACAATGCTCCAGCAGTTCGCGGGCGTCTCTCTGGAAGAGAACCTTCAAGAGTTCCATAAATATGCAGACGAGTTCCAGAAGTTGCCAATCTTTTACCTCGCGTTTCACGGACAGCAAACTATTAAAGTCGTGATGGAAGTGAGTAGAAGAGAAAATTATTACTATGTGTTTGAAAAGAGTGTCATAGAACACAATTAAAAGTGTTATAATATATGTTTTGTCCCAATATGATATTTTTTAAGTAGATACTTTTTACTGATACAAAATTTAATTAATTTAATACTTTGTAAATATCTATTATTATCAAAATTAACTTTTCATGACTTGAACACGACTATGTGCTTCAATTATTATAAACTTTTAACAGTTTTTACTTCATTCAAATTCTCGTCTATTGGTTAAAAATATCTGCTTAAGTTATGCCATCTCAACTAATTACTATAGATACGAATGTTAATTTCGAAGCGCGGTAAATATCGGCCAATCAGAATGATCCAAGTAGTGCACAATCACGTGATCCACGACTCCCTAGTAATTTTATTGAAATAAACATCTTATGCGTTGTATTTTGCACATTAAGGTTATTCAAATAAGATTTACATATGTACATTATAATTTATAATCGAGACCTTCGGACTTTCTACAGACTAAAAATCCTAAACTTCACTTACTTATATACGATTAAAATGCAATTCGTCAATGTTAACACTTGCTTTATACTATACAGGCTGTAGAGCACGCGCGATATATGCATGACATATCTCATGTAGTAGTTGACAACGTACAGTTCATGTTGGGTTTGGCTGACGAACGCGACGGTGACCGTTACCTCAGGCAGGATGCCGTCATAGCGGCATTCCGAACCTTTGCCACGGCGAGGCATTGCCACGTCACACTTGTCATGCATCCTAGAAAGGTGATTTGTATACATGTAAAATTACAAGATACAACAGAGCAAGATATCACAGACTGTCTATCAGTGTGTTTAAGAGGAATTTACAATGTTTGCTGTCATGAAAGCGATACTTCATCACCAGCATATTGATATCCCCACTGTTGGGGCTCAGGCCTTCAATATGGATGAAATCACGTGCCCAGTGCGGATTGATGGGTGTTAACGTTTGCAGAACGTGCCTTCCGAAGCATGGAGAAGTTAGAGATAATAAATTTTTTGACACCCATCTTGTCTTAGATACTCCATAATACAGGGACTTTAGCTACTCATCTTGGAATCTGAGCAATGTATGTGATGTTGTCAAATATTCATTTATTTTCTTTATATTTGCCCTATGACCGCCCATTGCATAAGTTGCTTAACAAACGTATCGCAACCGAGCGCGCTAGCTACTGCGCTATCAAGTTTCTAAAGAAAGAAAGTGATACTGACCTGTATAAGTACCGTTTTGAATGGATTAATCAGAATCAATCTTGTATTGGAGGGACCAAACAGAGTTTATCTAACATTGGATGGACCAATCACAATTCATCTAACGTTGAACGGACTAATCAGAATTTGTCTGGGATTCGACGGAGCAATCCTGATTGGTCTGTCCAAAGTTTGAAGGCTGGAACACGATGTTCATATAGTTACGCGGTAGCCCTACGAGAAATACCTTTGTTTTACTCATTGTAAATGCAAAATCTATCAAAAACATTTGTTCAAACTATACCAAGCTTCTCGACATTATATTGTAGTGTTTATACCAATTAATAATATTTAAATAAAAACTATCCAACAGGAGCGGGACTCTGAAGACTTATCCACAAGTTCAATCTTCGGTAGTGCTAAAGCCTCTCAAGAAGCAGACAACGTTCTTATCGTACAGGTAAATAACACTCAAAATTTTCCAGTTAAGTTGACCAAACGATATTATCACTCTTATGTTTTTGAGATGTTCAGATTCCAAATGAAGATACAGTATAGTAAAGTTTATTTTTCTTTATTGACCCGACCTGATATCGATCCAGAGACCTCGGAAATGGCAACACTGAAGCTAATACCGGCCACGGGTGTTGTCTTATAGCGTCCCCACCGACTGCTTGTGAATCAAGTTCTTGCAGCGTGATTTAGGGCGCATTGGATAGCTCTATTTATAAAACATAATTTCGTCTATTCGAAATGCTGATTCGACTCCAAAGAGACGCATCTTTCAATAATTTATGATATAACAAAGATACATAAATAATATTCACGGATACAATAATAATTAAATTATGAGAACGATTCGATATTTTCCGAATTTTCATTAGAGGACATACAGAATAAGTCCTCAGTTGCAGTGGCGGACTGCGGGGGACGGGAGGGGCGGTCCGCTCTCTGATCATGGGGGGGCCTTCAAATGGCTGCAACTATCCGTTAAAATATAATAAAGTTAAAAATGGGTTTTAAAAGCGATATCAAGTTGCCTCGGTTAGTCCGCCACTGCTCAGTTGTCATGTTAATTAGTATAATAAGTGTTATACGTAATTTAAAGAACGAGGACAATAAGAAGATAATTCTGATTTCATAATTCTTTTGCAGGACAAGAGATTGACAGCAGTTCGCGGCAAAAAATATTTACAAGTCGCTAAAAACCGGTATAGCGGAGACCTTGGTATAGTGCCTTTAGATTTTGATAAGGAATCTCTTAGCTACCAGCCGAAGAAAAAAGGCAAGACGAAAACAGACGAGCCCGATAAACTACTTGACCAATGCTTTGAAGAATTTTCTATAGAGGATCCTCAATTTAGTATAAATAAAACGACGAAACGGGATTGGAGTCAGAGAAAGACGAATTCAACTAAGAATAAAAAGGAAGTGGAAAGTTTTCTCAGTGATATCTTGAATTCGAATAGAACTAGATAACGGTGAATCATAAAAGTGTAATTTTAATGTATTTCTTTGTATATACGCGAATGAATATAACTGTATGATTTGAGCATGTAGTTGACTTAACCAGTTTAGTTAGATACTCGTAAAAGAAAATTGGTCTTCCTACTTTGACAGTTGCTGAAAGTAAACCTGTTACTCTTAATTTGGTACAAATAAAGTCGATTTTTTAAGGAAAACTTCGACAATGATTTGTGGGCGTTTCCTAATATATCAGTTAGCCGTAGGGTAACTAACTAAATCTACAATAGTTTTAATTTTGTTTCATTATAGAGAAAGCTATTCCCTCTGCTTCTGAATTTGTTCTTAACTACATTTTATATTATCTACAAAATATAAACATTGTAGATTTCATTTTAATTCTCCCATTTTATTGATTTAACCTTGCGGTGATAATTTAGTTTTATTTTAACGCGTTCATTTGCGAATGTTAACCTCCCAAAGAGAATTATTCAACATTTAATCTCGAATTCATTTTTAAATTAGATACCAATGTTAAGTTTAAAATAGAATTTTAACACATATTTAAGGAATTGGTAAGAGTTGGCGGAGTCGGACGTCAATATGTGGCCGCAATTTCTCACAATGCGGAGTGCGAGTACGCAGATTTTCATGATGCGACGTCGCATCGCAATTTTACGCATCTTTCATCGATATAGATTTTGCATGAAATTTAGTTTAAAGGTACTAAGGTACACGTATAATGTTGGAACATGGTGTGATTTATTATTTGTTACTTTAATTAATATTTTATTTTTTATTATAGAAATAAAACTATAAAATATTGTTACAGTGTATAATCTGAGTTTATGATCCAGGAACTATTTGACATAAGTTTTTCCTTAAACAAGAATCTATGTGACACAAAGAACAGATAAATCTTAAACTATTGTAATTAAATTCAATCTTATCTAAATTATTATTACAATGAACATGTTATAACTTAATAGGTTGTATGTTGTACTTTGAAATGCGATAAAGAACAAAAATCTTGTACAGACAGTCGGAAGTCACTAAATAAAAATAAACTTCCAAATGAGCAGTTTTTGATTTAAGAACAACTCCACAATAAAGAAGGAACACAAAATTCTTATAATTTTCAAATTATCTCGATACAAAATACTACCTCTAATATTCAATGTCTTATACTATGTAATTAATTATATCCTTTTTATAATCGACGAAATCACCTTTAGCAGAGTATAAAGATACAAGTGTTACAATTCATGTCGGTTACCTAAATTATTATGTAAGTTTATGTTCCGAAAAATCGAAAATGTATCAGATAAAAGTAATTCATTAACGTAACCCTGGTAACCAACAATAAATTACAAGACTTATACGTTTAGGGAAACGTGGCCCTCATATTGAGCGATTTTACAATAATTCTATAGTTTTTCGAGTAATTAATCATAAACGACTTTTAATTCGCGCCATTTGTTAGAGTGAGGGAGATAACGGGTGTGCGAGATGCCATAGAATCCTAGTAGCTACTGGAAACACGCTATTTTACTCGCTCTAGCACAAGGCAGTTCTAGGTGATAGAAAGGAATAGAAAGACGGAAAAATTCGAACGTTATAACCCTAATGAACTTGACACTTCTGTTAGTTTGTTCTCCAACTTTATGCGATGCATATATATTAACACAATCGGAAATTAAAACCGGGTTTCAAAAATATACAAGTATGCTTTATATTATTCTAACCATTGATTAATTATTTTATCAGGTTGCTGTTCAACTTAGTAGTATGGTATTACACGAAAGGCATAAAAAAAGTTAATATGAATAACCACTAAAAGTTAATCGTGATAAATAACTCCAATTAGTTAACCACCGATAAACGGTATCATTAACACATTTAAATACCTAACTTTTATTTTAATAATCGATTTTCTTAACTATTCTAAATAACAGTGACATTATTCGCGGGGTCATTAAGTTAATATCAGCCCTCAGATTTAAATAAACTAAGATTTAACCTTATTAAAACTGAGGTTAAGGTCATCTGCCTTTACTATATTAACCACAGACTACCCAATTTGTAATAAGATGTATTATTCAGGGCTTTTTCTAAACTCTGTTATATTATTCATTAATTTTCAATAGCTAATAAAACTACAATATCTTTCAGTGACACCCAGGTTTAAATAACGCAAAGTACTCATTAATTACTATATCATTAAAAGGATTTATATATAACCACGATTAACTTTTATCCGAAAATTAAGTTTATTAACTGATCAATTTAAAAAATCATAATGGCAACATCAAATACTTCAATTATCAAATGTAGGTATAGTAATAAATTATAAATAACTAGCCTTTCGCCAGCGACTTCACCCGTGTGGTGCTGTATTATACATAAAAAGCCGCCTTTTGAATCAACATATCTATTCAAAAAATCTCATAAGTCTGTTGCGTAGTTTTAAATATCTACAATAAATAAGGTAGGGACAAACAGATGGAGAGCTTGTTTTATATTATAAATACTTTGTTTTATACTATTTATTTCTCAATATAAAGAAGATTAAATCAAATTCATGTTGTAGGTAAATTCTGTAGAAAATTCAATTCATTTGTGATTAATTATATATAGGCTGTTATGTACACATACACACTGCACTTCAGGTTATCACAACATGTCAAATTTCTCCAGACGTTTATAATTTTACCTACAAAACCTTCAAGTGGAGCGATTTGACATTTTTATAACCTGACATTCTGTTGACTATACACATAGAAGCACGTCAGGCTACCACTACATGTCAAATTTCCAGTTGATTTTAGTACTACCCTGAATATAATAAGGTTTAAAATCAAGTTGAGAAATTTGATATAATCTGATGTGATTGACTGTACGTAACCTGATAATTATTTACAAACCATTAGTCTTGCTTGTTGACAAATGTACAGTCAGTGTCAACTTGGTCAAGATGATCAAATAATGACGTACAAACATAGCGAAAAACAATGTTTAAAATTAAAGACAATATTATATTAATCCAGTATTATGATGACATATTTAAACGCGTTCTCTTCCGTATGTGATAGGTAATCTTGATTATTCAAATATTTTTGTTTACTTTGACTGTAATGTAATTTGTTAATTGAGTCATATTTAAAATTAATTTTTAAAGTGTTTTTAATTGGCTGCCATGATGTATGAACAAGCCTAATCTTTTCAACACAACTTTAATTTTCGTCTTGAACGATCCCAAATATGTGTCGCTGACTGTACCTTTGCTATTGATCACATGCAGTAGACAGAACATTGGGTTACTACAGATAACTTTCTTCAACCTATTTTAAGCCTTATTATTGACAGTTAAGTTCAAATTCAATTGCATTTTTATTACTTATTTACTTTATCATAAAGCCTTTTCATGTGTAAACTGTTTATTTATGTATGATTGTAGTTTTCCTTAATTCTAAATGCATTGCCATGTATCACAAGATAAAATAAGAAGCTTATCTCATTTAGATGCCTTATAAATCATAAGATATGCTTGATTTTATTCTCATTTGATTATAAAAATAAATTGTTTGTAAACATTTATAAGCTTTCTACTAGATATGTATTAGAATATCTGAAATACATTTTATATTCAAATGAATGTTTCAATGAAATATTTACAATAACAGCAGACTATACATAGCAAATATAAAATTCATAAGTAATATTGTGTCAAAAATAAAATATTATGTTTCTTTAAAAATTATTAGCTTGCATTATCTTGACAATTTTTCTTTTTAAGAAATTCTAATACATACCCATTAAAACATATGAGAAAATATATTTAAATTTGTATGATCCAACTATGTTTTTATAATGTATATAACAAAAAATAATTTCTAAAATATTTATCACTATTTATGATTATTTGCTAAAATGTGCATGTACAGCATCAATCAATGAAGAATTACTTGTCCTGTTTTGCCTCCTTTTACATTTGGGGCAAGGTAAATTTGCATTGAGGCATTTACTATGAAATACACTAGAGCATTCTTCACATCTATATGTAGTACTCGTATCAAAAGGATATAAAATCTTAGGGTCTTGGCATACTTCACAGATGAATCCTTTCTGACTACAGAGCCAACAATCCAAAACATGTGCTTTGGCAAAGTTTACCACTTTCTCTAATTGCAGAACAAGTGACCCACTTGGTATTTGTGCTAAATCAGATATAGTATACAAATGCAAATGTTCATACAAATATTCACGGGGCCAAACCCGTTTCTGCAACTCCTCTATAACATGTTCCCTACATGTGAAGATGTATGCCCTCAAAAAGTTTAATTGAATTCTTAAATCTTGCAAATGTGCCATATCAGAAACACCACAGTATATCTTTGGATTTAATTTTTTCATATCTATCCATGGATGATGTTGAAATTCTAAGAGAAACAAGGCAGATTTCTTAGACACCGGATACCTTTTGAAATCCCAGTTATGTATTACTCTTGCTGGTATTATGAAAACATTTGGATCCATACAATTTGAACAGTAATATTCACCAGTGAAAGCACAGACCTTTGCCCTGGATATGGTACTGCCCAGTAGGTCCTGGCACCCTTTGCACTGATAATTTTGATGGTCAAGCCCTTGTTCTCTTGATAAAGCTCCTAACTGTTGCCTCATTTTTTGTAACTCTTGTGGAGTAAAAGAGCCAGAGATTGAATTTGGCACTACTTCAAAGTCTAAACATTGAAGCATTGGGTCTTCTGGCGAAACTGGATCAATAGTTAAATCACATATTTCAGTATCATCTGAAAATTTCAACTCTCTCTCTATATCCTTCATGATTTCTCGCAAGTTAGGTGTGTTCTGAGTTTCTGGGAAACTGGTACTATTATCAACAAGAGATGATAAACTCTTCAGTTCAGGAGTTTTAATCATACTGCTACCATGTGAAGAATTAGAATGTATAGATTCATTTAATTCATCATTCTCATTAGACCATCCTTTCCCACTTAAAGAATTTCCAGTAACTGTAACTTCAGTGGGAGCAATGAAGTCGCCAAAATCTAAAGATGATGAGCATGTAGAAGTAGCTGGCTTTTCTTGACTAGTGGACGGTTTTTCTATTTCTAAAGGCTTTGATTCAACTTCTTTATTTTGTTCTTTTAAAAGTGCCTCAACAGGTGTATCATCTTCAAAGGTTCGTGTTGTAATATCTTTTGAATCGTTAGACAATATAAAATCAAGAGCTTCATCTTCATTTAACGCAAGCATTCGGCCTAATCCTGTAATATTTGAGGAGTGTGTTGGAGTCGAAGCTAATTTTGGTTTTATATCTTCATCAGTTATTGTACTTGCTACATCTAAAGCTGTACTAATTGGGGCAACCCTCACTTTCGGAATCCAAATTCCAGCAAGCATCAGTACTTGTTCAGGCCACTGATTGAGCAAACTTGAATTAATTGGTAAATTAAATTGTATACATGATTCCAACCCTTCAATAAGTCTTTGTGCAACTTCCAGAATCTCTGAGTCGCAAACAAATGCAGTTCTGTTGTAAAATGGTTTAACAGCAGATATATTTCTTAATAAAGTAGACATGTATGAAGACAGAAGGCATTCATTTAAAGCAATACGGAGCCAAGCACGACATTGTCCGATTTCAGTGTTGATTTGAGGTAATGCAGATATTTGATCTATGTTTTGTCTGTGTGATAACACAAGAATGAGTGGCCAAAAGTTGGGCTGTGGACGATGGTCAGAATCTCCTGACAAAGCATTCTTAGCCTTCCTTAAAAAAGTATCTTTTAGACCATGAAGAAACACTGCCTCTAAACCCACACACAAACTATTGGTAGAATCTGTGGATCCTAAAACACTATGAAAATTTTCTTCAAATTGATTATTATATTGTATGTCTTTTACGCACTCAGATAAATTGTTTATCAGAGATTCTTTTAAAATGGTGTCACGACTACGAACATTGAATCCAGAGGCAACATTCTTGAAAAATGCCATAATTATAATGTGTCGATCACGCACTCACAAAAATAAGGTTCTTTATTATTAATTTATGATTTAACGGTTCGTGATGTGAAGGCTTTTAAATAAATTGTTTAAAACTTAGGAGCACTTCTGCGTTTTTCTGTTTTGCTCACGAAAATATAAATAAATAAAACAGTAGGCTTGCGCATAAATAATCGATATGTTAAGATATCGATGCTTTAAACCTACATGAAAAAATATCTTTGAATATCAAGTTCGATATAGTAGGGAGCGTCACCCTCCCGTTAAACAAATCCATTTAATATATCAGTTAGATAGTAGAAAATTATCAGATACATATCATTTTCTTTGTTTCAGTTTATAAAATGAGCATTAAACTGAAAGAGTGGTGACTCGCTACGTCATAATGTACATAGGTGTGTCGTCATACGACATTTCAACTCAATGTAGCGCCGTAATTTATGTATTTCGAATAAAAGACGTGTTTATATTCTCCAATAATCTACTTGACAAATGAGCGAAGATAAATTTGTTTTTGTTATGCCTTTTATATTACTAATACAAACTGTATAATAGTATCATACCTGGAATTGTACTAAAAACTGGCATTTTGTACATTATCACTAGTTGCTTAAAAATAGTTTGAAACCGTATTATTCAAATCATCCTTGAAATACGTTAAGTTATGATTATATTATAGATGTATTAAAGTTTCATTGCCAAAAAATAATTTATTATTAAAGACCTCACTATGCGATTTTATCTTAGAAAATATTAATCACTGTCACTGTCAGTCATCAATATTTAACTATAAATATTTATGAAAATATATCTCGCAAAAATATCGATACGATGGTAAAATTCACAGATGATATTAGAAGTTTTCAAACAAAAATTAATAGCTTTAATAGTATAAATAGGAGATCAACCAAGAAGAGAGATAAACCTTGGCATGAGAGAAAAGCAAGAAATCTGTGTCTCCATTGTAATTCATTGATAAAGGTTTCAAAAATACTTTACTATTTTTGTGCACTAATAATTGGTGCTGCTACTGTCTGGCTACTAAGCCTGTTCCTACTTCGTGTAATGTTGGATCCATGTAGCATGATGAACTAGAGAGCGTTTTTAATAACCAAATGACACCTTTCTCTGGTGACGATTTCACTCTTGACTCGAGAAACGTGACGTTTGGTATAAATCTTGTCTTTCTATGCGTGTTGCTTTGTGTTGATTTTTAGAAGTCATGTTCCTGATCAATCTAGGAAAATGTGTTATTGCCATTTTAAATATTACGATTAAATTGACAATAAAACATTATTTTGAAATTAAGTTACTACATATTCTAAAGAAAAAAATCAGCGTTACTAAATAATAATGTCACACGTATTACAAATGCAATGTATTGTATTACCAATTTTACAACTGTTACACATTTACCCTTATAATTTCATTCGATATTAGGTTTAGATACGTTGGTTTATTCGATATTAATATCGCTGTTTTTCGATATCGACTTATAACGATATCTTTGTGCGTCGATATATCGAGATACAGTATATCGGTTTTACAATATATCGTGTATCCCTATTGCTGACTGACGTTACAGCATGACAGTGACAGACAGATTCTTCCAATCTTCCAATGTCCAAAACACTGGGTTTTGATAAAATCCACAAGAGCAAGCGCTAATAATATAAGAAAAAAATAGTTTTATATTAATATTTAAAATAAAAATATACGTACTGCAGTATCTAAGGAATGTTTAAATATTTTATATTTTTAATACTAAATACTTCTTTCAGTCTTTCTACGTTTGCGAAGCATGATATCAACAATCCTGGAAAAAATGGGCAAGGTAATAATACCTTTGGCACAGTAAAAGTTAAATATTTTAACAATTCATTTCGCAAATATATTTTCTAGAGCTGCTTCTTTGCCGTAAATGTGGGGCCGACGTAGCCGATTCATATTATTTATTTAATAAACCCAGCCCAGGCGCCCGAAAAACTGACAAACAAAATATGTTTGGTAAACAAAATGTAACAATTCAAACTTTAGTTAATCCTTTCGGCGTTAAATTTGAAATTGTTACAATTGAAAAGGCGAGGTGTGATAATATTGGACCTGTAAGTTGAGATAATGTTAATATAGTCACAATTCAGTGTCAATTGTTTTTACTAATATTCTTTATTTACAAACTAGCCTCAAGGAGCAGATTCTTGGTTCCCAGGTTATGCCTGGAGAATATGTGCCTGCCCACACTGTGGGCAACAATTAGGATGGACGTTTGAAAGCGGTAAAAATGAAAATAACTCAATTAACAGCTTTCATGGACTGATTTTGAATAATGTTCTAGGAGAAAACTGTAAGCAGTAGTTAATTTCTGTATTCCTATTATTACGAGTTAATATATTTTTGTCTTCTATGATATTTAATTAATGTTAACTCATCTTAAATATGTTTTGTTTTACAAATATTATTTTCTTTTCAGTTACGGACTCTCTTATAATGATGCCGAAAGTATATAAGATGTAAATAATATGGTTATAGAATTATATTTATTTATTTATATTACATTAGTTTTATTGAAAGAACCTTTGTGCAGTGGACAACTAGATAATTTAAGTCAAATTCCTAAAATTAACTTTGAAATTACAACTTGAAAATAGATATATGATAAGATAATTGTGTTAAGTTTGTAATGTTAATTTTAATGTAAAGTCCTGTTTTTGACACTTTCTTGATACACATTATTAGAAAAGGTTTTTTTTTTATTCTTTACATTGAATTATATATCAACATATCTTTTGGAACAGCTATAGCAAAAAAATAAATACAACAGGAGCATCAATTGAGTAAATCTTTTTTATTTTTACTTTATACTCTTAGTAACAAACAAAATATGGAAACAATAAAAATAGGGTATTATAATAACCTTAAATAAGCACAACATAATATCTATCATATTATGCAATTCTTTGCACTTTACAGAGTAAACACAAGTTAATTAGGAAAGTCAATTATTATAATTATAGAAAAAACCTAATTCACAATTTGTAAAAGCGCTGTAGGTTAGTTTCAACAGTAGGCAATGTTACCCAACCCAAAACAAAAAATCTGGTCATCATATAGTGTAATCCTTATACTTAACAGACCTATTCATCATTATCTCTACTATACTATATCTATATAGTACAATAACTTTTGATACTTGTGTACTTTTTTTACAATAAAATTATAAAAATTTAAGTCAATTATGTACTAGCAAATCTTTGATGTAAAGTTTGTCCTGTAGCTGCAGGTGTTGGAGTGAAGTTGATTCCACCAGGTGCCTCTGCAGTGTTTACATTATTATTACCATAAGACTTTCCTTGAATAGCTGCAATTTCCTTCTGTAATTTGGGATTAAGTATTTGTTTGTTGACAAACTTTCTACCAACTCCTCTGTTTCCACCCCTACCCCGGCCTCGTGATCTAGTTGATCTTCTGCTTGCATTAGAGACATTGGAGCGGTTTGATCTATTGGATCGATTAGAGCCCATTGACTTGATGCTACCAGGACCACGTCGCGTATTATAGCCTCCAAATTGATTATTCAACTGTGCTAGACTTTGTCTGTTTAGATATCCAGCATTGCCAACACTGTTTCGACGCCTTTTTGTGAAATCATTAGCAACACTAACTGTCAACTGGGAAGCATTAAAGGAATTATTTCTAGATCTAGTGAAAGTTTGAGATTTAATAATATTGTTGTGACGTAAAAGATGTTGGCGCTGTTCTTTTAAAATTTGATCAGACCTTAAACCAACAGCACTGTATCTATTGTTGGTGCTCAAACCTCTTCCACGTTTTGAAATCCCTCTTTTAGCTACAGCTAATGGTCTGCGACTATTAAATCCACCTCTGTTTGTGTTCAAACCGAGTCTGTTATGAATACTGTTAAAAAGATTTGGGTTAGAATTTGAACGTCTGAGTCTGTTTTGCCATCCACCTGTAAAGAAAACATTAATTTGTAATATAAAATGATCATTTTTATGTTAATATTGGATAAAAGCCTGTTAATGGAGGAACATACACATTAAAAATTAGTTCTGCAGAAAAAAAAAGATCACAATATTCAATGGTGTAATTTATGTGTTCTTGTGTTGTGTAGATTAGATAAATTAATTAAGATTTACACTAACAGATTTAAATATTTACAAATGAAAATAGATGAATTGTATAGGCAAGCTGACCAGACACCACATAAACTATATCTAGGGAATGCAATCTCGTTCACGCAAGATCTCGGCCTTTTCTAGCGAGATTGATCTTGATCGAAAAATGAGCGAGATCTCGCGAGTTTAACGAGATTGCACTCAAGCATATTAACGATTTATTCTAAATGCATCAGTGAATTTAAGCGAGTCCGATAATAAGATGAATAACAAAGATTATTTGAACATTTTGTGCATCTTAAGAAACTACTTTCAAAATTATTTGTAATAATGATGCGTGATGTGAATCGAATAAGCCTTTCAATTGATTAGTATATTTTGTTAATTTATTTTCTTTCTAACAGGTCTCTGGGTACACATAGTATTCTTTCATTGATGACAATCTCAGTTTAATAGTCAATGCAACTTAGTTAATAGGTAAATTTTTAGTTTTTGTATTTTTGTTATAAAACAGTATATTATAATTAAACTTTTCTTTGATATTAGCAGAGAAACTGGTTGTTTATTTCATTTCATATTTGATTACATATGTCAAAGTTTAGTTTCTTTAAATATATAGGATGACTAAGCTTTACTCAAAAAAATATACAATATAAAAATTAAACCTAACTAAATCGATTTATTACCTCTAAAAGCCCCTGCATACTTAATGTTATGAAAATAGTTGGAGCCGTTTCTGATATAATAATACAGTAATTGCTCTTTAAGGTTTTATATAAAAAAATATAATTGTGTCAAACAATAATAAATAATTAAAACTTTATTCAAAATACGCTTATAAGTAAATGTTCATTTCATGATATGCGTAATGCCTTTTTTTTTCCTAATTTATTCAAATATTGTGATATGAATAAATATTACAGTAAAACAGTAAACACACAAAAGTGCCAATCTCGTGAGATCTCATAATTGGCGAGATTGCGTTCCATAACTATATCATAGGCAAATCAGCTATGCCTGCGCACAAATGTAATAAAATACAAATGTAAATGTAATAAAAAAAAATGATATTAGATCACATACTTGCTGTCAGTTATACCTGCAAGGCTAAAACCACCATACAAACTACCATGTATGGCTTCTATTAGACCAATTAGAAATTTTGTTTCTAAGAACCTATACAAAATATAGATAGCACTTTGAAATATGACTCACCTCTATTCAAACCTCCTCCTCGAACAAGCTGAGGCATATCAGGAATTTGATCTTCTAATCCAGCTCGGCCTTTCGGTGTCAAACGGAGTTGAGAACGTGATCGGGAAGCAGACCTAGCTCTCGAGATAGAACGTCGCTGTTGGCGTGAACGAGATCGTGATCGCGACTGTGACCTGCTGCGAGATTGGGAGCGGCCTTGTGGCCCGCGGGATCTTGAACGGCCTTGTCTACCACCCGGCGTACCAGGACGTGACTGCGAGCGCCCGCGCCCACGCCCCCGGCCGCGACCTCGGCCTCTGCCTCTGCCTCCACCGCGACCACGACCACTGCCATTGCTGCTCACTCGATTCTGAGCATTTCCACCGCCACCTCTACCGCGAGTTCTACTCGCACGATTTTGTTTATTTTGTTTTATTATATCGTCTGTAATATGAAAATGTGAATAATTTTCTATATTTACAATCATACGTCAGTTGGCGCCATATGCACCTTAGTAGGTATTTTAAATAAAATATATGCATATAAGCTATTGTTGCACTAAATGGTGTGAAACATTTAACCAAACTATTATAATAATAAAACGCTTTACGGATACAGATAAGAAAATCGATTGTATACAAATAATACCACGAAGCCGTGCAATCCAAAAACAATAGATCATTTTTATTTACCAAGTGACATATTAACTGAATCTGCCATGTTTATTCACCAATTATAACAAAAAAAACACGTATTTATATTACAAATAACACTATTTCTTCTACTTGATCAAATTACTTTTATGAAAAAGGTTATGTTAGCTCTAACACCACAAAAAAAATGGAGTCCTGATGTTGCCATTAAGTAGGGTTGAACGAATCGATACTAATGCATATGAGTACTCATTTAGTATCGTATCGATACTATTACGAGTACTTAATCTAAATGCTGTTTGATACAGAGTACTGGTATCGAATGATAATACTACAAATACTAGTATTTAACGGTAAAGTTAAAGATGATGTAGCCGTCGCAGTAATCGGACCTCCAGGAAGAATTTGGCCGCCGTTACATTGACTTTGATCTATAAGTATTCAGATTTTAGGTTTAATTACGTTTTAAGTGTATTTCGTCACAATAAGTGAGGAAATATTGAAAAAAAGCATTAGCTCCCGAATTCAAACTAGATGTCGCTACGGAACGTTTTTAATTTCTCCATGACAACTCTTCCGGTTTTCTTTTATGTTTAAAAGTAAATTAGTTTTCAAAATTCAATAAACAACTCGTATTCTATTTGTACTTTATTGTATTTGTATTGATATCTAAGTTTCGAACTTTTAAAATTTCAGTTTTTTAATATGTTAGTTAAAAGTAACGGAAATGGCTGTCTTGGTCCATTCGTTTCCAGCATAAATCAACTTTTGTTAGAGTCGCCATCTAGTGGAGTTGATTTTTAGTGCTCTCGTTTTTTTTAAATACTTCCTCATTATCGGAATAGTCAGAGCGGTGAAATACTTTGTGGTTGTTCACTTACTACACAGGGTTGTAGAGCAATATCTTAAATCGGGCCGCGGGACAACATAATGAAGAAGTATTCAAAAAACATTAGTTCTTGAAATCAAACTAGATGTCGTTACGGTACTTTCTTGATTTCTCTATGACAACCCTTCCGCTTTTCTTTCATTTTTAAAAGTAAATTAGTTTTCAAAATTCAGTGAACAACTCATATTCTATTTGTACTTTTTCGTATTTGTATTGATATTTAAGTTGCGAACTTTTCAAATTTCAGTTTTTTAATATGTTAGTTAAAAGGAACGGAAATGACTATCTTTGGTCCATTCGTTTACTGCAAAAATAAATAGAGTGGCCATCTTGAAAGGTGCTTTCTTTTTTTGTCTTAAATACTTCCTCATTGAAATTGAGTCTATCCCGGAAAATTCAGGATGGTTGACAACCCTGCTAAAATGACGTTTGATTCTATTTATTGTTTCTTTTTAATTTCATTTAAATGAATGAGCTCCTAAATGGCGCTGCCAGACCAATGATTTCAAGCTGACGTAAGCCCAGCACCGCCACATTATTTAATTATCTCTAAAAGAACCTATTAACTTAAGCTATTTATAACCGCTATGTTCCAGATTAATAAATAAATAAGGCATGAAATTTTTTGTGAATTCAACATAAGTATAAGGTTGCCTAATAAGTAACGAGCGTTTTAATTTTTTTTTTAATGTCATTGATATTAAAACCCATGTCCGACATTGTTTATTATATGAGTACCAATCTGGCTATTTTGCCGCAGAAGCTGCACCTAACATATGCCAATGGTTAGGTCTGGACGTCCAATAGCAACAAATAGATATAAATAAACTGAAGACGTTAACTGAAGAAGATTCTAGACGCAGCACACGTCATTTGGCAGTAGAGTTTGGTTGCTCTCATGGTACGAGTAAAAATCATTTGCATTAATTAGGAAAGTCTTAAAATTTTTGCGTTTGTGCACCCTATCGGCTGACCAAGATACAACTCGCTTACCGTGCAGAGATATGTGTACATCTATTATCATTTCGTCGTACATTTAACTGAATAGACTATTTTGTCACTGTAGACGAAAAGTGGGTTACGTATGTTAATCAAACATGTGGTTAGGCTGCAACGAACCAGGCAAACCTACGCCAAAAAAAGATCTTCATTTTCGCAAGGTGAAATTCTCGGTATGGTGGGATGTACATGAAGTAATATACTGAGAAATACTTCTAACCAATACCACGACCACAGAAAACGTGTACTATAATAAACTCGATTATCTGAAGCTTGAACTTCATCGTAAGCCTCCAACAACATGACAAAATATTTTTTCTCACTTGGTAATCATTTGCGTAAAAAAAACTTTCATGATTAACCCCAGCTACAAATACAATAGTAATGAGAAAGTATTAAAAAAAAAATAGTTCTTGAAATCATACTATAGATTCACTCACGATGTTTGGATTTTGTTTATGATATTCATTCAAATTTTGTTTCTGACGTAATGAAAGTAAATTGAGTATCGAAAATTAATAAATATAACATCGTTTTGTGTTTCTTATAATATCTAACTTTCAAATTAATTTTAATTTATTTAATCGTAAGTTTAAGTTGTTTATTATGTTACGTGTAAAGAAACGATGTTTGGTTTATATGTCAACATTAGTGATGAGCCAACTTATTGGTTGCTCGTAACTTTCATCCGAAATCAGAGGTTGTGTAGGAAGTCAATCTATTATTAACAATACTATTGTAAGAACCAAAAAGCACATACCCACCGTACGAATTAACTTAACACATGACTCGACGTCCGCCGTTGACATACAAGATCAGTAGCAATAGGATTTTGAAATTTAAAGTTATAACCTTGCTGTTCGTTTAGAACAGAAGTTTCTTGTTGATTGCTGAATGTTTATTAAGATGATCTAATTATGAATATAAGATTTAATAATTGATCATAGTTTTTTTAAAGTCTTCATTTTGAAAGCACAAGTTATTTTTTGCACGTTACACTTTGCACAAATGTCATTTTAGCCAGAAGTAATGTTATTTTGTACGAATACCTAGTATATTGGATACATATCGGGTAAGTATGTAGACAATTAACGGATTTTTTATTATAATTATCGTTTTATGATTTTTGTTGTTGATTAATAAACTCTATTCATTCATTCACCATACATATTATAAAAATATTATTGAGACTTGATGTAGGTTTATTGTTGTAAGTTCAACAAACAACTAATAGCAATAAAACTAATCGTTATTGTTTTCAGAACTTTTGTTAAATATTAAATAAAATAGAAAAAATCCTAGACCCACTATGGCATAGGAATATTATTTTTAAAAACTATTTGGTGATAATATTATTGTATACCGTAGCTAAATGCCAATTTTAATTATATAACAGCATTTATTCAATTGATATCCATAATTAAAAAAAAACCTCTGTGCTCACTTCCATTATGTTAGTTTCCATTTCCCTCTACACAAATAAAAAATAAATTTATTCAAAGATTACTTTGTATTAATCGAGTTGCGTTTGCATAACTCAAACTAATTAAATTTCAACTCGATATTAATCCGAGTTATCAGATCCACACAACACTAACAATTCTATTCTCTTTGGTTTAACGTCATGAATTGACGTTTAGATCCAACAATTTGTGCTGCCATCTAGTGATACAAATTTTTGTAGTTTCTTTATTTTTTTTAAATACTTCATTTTTCAAATACCTACAAACCGGCAAAATTTTACAGAGACGCAATGCAATCTTTGCCTAATCGCTGGCGTACAGTGGTAGATAACGACGGTAATTACATTGTGAAGGATTAGCTATTATTTCATAAATAAAAATTTAAGTTATGTATGTAGCTCATTTATTAGCTAACCCGATACCAGACTGGACATCACACCTAACAGCGCCACTATTTCTCTTATTACGTATCTTGGTTACTTGTCTACATTTCATAACGGACTGATAAATACTCACTAAATAAAAAAATAAGTAGGTTATAATTACATCAGTTTCCTTGGCTCTTCAGGTCCCGATATCTTAGGAAAGAAGCACGATTTTTATTTAACTCGCGTTTGAAATTCTGCTTCGCATCGAGTTATATAAATATAGGCCATTATAGTAATCAATAGCATTACTCCTCTTGTAGAATAAGATCACTGTTACGTGACTGCAGAGTAACATTATAATGTCGCCAAATAATCCTTTTTTCAGTTTAGAGAGGGGCATATATAAATTATATAAAAATTGTCGAGAACCATGTCCGCTTCTCTATATCCGAAGCATTTTGATGTATGTAAAAGCATCAATTTAATTTATGGGAAATAACAAGTCATTGAGTAAGTTTGAGCTTATGTGAAAATTTTATTAACAAAATGAAAATAGGAATAAATAACATAATTATGCATAATTTTAAGAAATATTAATTTGTACATTACTCTATTTATAATTAAATCATCTCTGCAAGGAGAATACAACAACGCACATAAAATACAAATCTGAGTTTTAACACCTACACAATCAGATTATACAACTATTGCAAATTGCGTAACTACTAAAAGATTATAAAATTAATGTTAATTCTCCTGTGCAATGTTTAATATTCGATTAAAATTTCAATTGACCGATATCTATATATACATTAATTAATTTATAATTTAATTATGAGCAGAACATGTATAATGAATCACAATATTTTAAAGGCCAAGATCGTAGGCTAGAAGTTTTTATAAGGCCGTGTATAATCGTAAACGATGCACTTCATTTAGAATACTCGTGAAAATTTATCCTTACAGCGGAGCTTAAGTACATGCTAATAAAGGATAAGACACCGGTCGACTCAAAGATCACAATAAATATTTCAAACGCTCGTTGGCGTCGCACTAATGAGTTTCTTTTTCATAAAAGATTTCATCAGCATTCTTATATCGTCAGATGATAATTCAAGGTACAGTAGAGGTCATCTAGAATAACCGCAAGTTAATACATTTCTAATACATCGAACGAAAATATTCATAAAATATATATACATATATATCTATATAAAAATATGCTATTTCGTAGTGCTACATCAACGGTAAGACAAAAACGGATTCAATAAACTTACACTTCGGTAAAATATCATTTAAAACTTTACAATATTAACGCGCTACAGGAATGAGAGTTCGTCCGTCGAGGACGGGACGAGTCGCACAACACTTGGCACCTTCTGAGTATTCAATTAAGCTACAGGACACCCGGCGGAATATGACCGCCTGTAGGCCGCCGCACCTGTCGAGACGGGACGAAGAGAGGACATCGAAAAATATATAAAGAATCATGTCCAATTTCGACCTAAAAATTTACAAATGCGTCTGGTGATGTGATATATCTCAACATGTAGCTTATTTTTTACTTATTTCACACCAGGAAATGAAATCTTAAAATAAAATCAGGATAAAAATTGCGAGGCTTGTAATTCAATTTTAAATAGTACTAGAATGCGAATGCGATTCGGACCCTAAAATGACGGTTTGCTAGACTAGCTCAATGTGATTCAGATCCAATTACGGTTTGCTAGATTTCGTTTCATGTGATACGAAAAAATATTTTTTCGCCATATCGTAAAAAGTGCACATTAACAATTACATTTAGATTTATTTCCATATTTACGAGTGAAATTTTAAAAAGCTTTGAATTTAATTCGTTAATTTTTCAAAGTATCTTTACAATTATGTCGAGTTTTAACAGATGTTATAACCTCATAACATTATTTACAAATTACGAATCTCCCTGGCCTAAAGTTGAAAAGATGCTAAGATATTATTCTATTTAAAGCAAAAAAATAATTTATATTATCACCAATGGTGGGTAGACGCGACCTTAAAAATATATGACAGGTCAATTTATGTATGGAAAGTGGATATGATTCTATATTGGCTCTAGTCGGTCGAGTGCTGCTATAGTCTGATGTCGTTGGGGGCGGTGGCGAGCAGGGAGGCGCGTCGCCAGGTGGGTTCTAGGGTGTCGGCGGGGGCGGGGGCGGGCGCGGGGGGCGCGTGCTCGCCGGTCCGCACGAACGCGCGACATTGAACTTCTTCCTGAGCCCCATACCGGTGCAAGCTCAAGAACTTCAAGTTCGCCACTATAGACGAGTTGATAGGTCGCGTGGGCATACTCACTGCCGTCGCGGATCTCTCTATACGTTTCTGGCGCGGCTCGCTCGCCGCTAGTTCGAGCGACTGCCCGCGCCCGTACAACCGCGACTGTCCGAACCGGGGCGTCAGCCGTCCGATGAGATTGTCCTCCTTGCGCGAGCCCTTGCTCGTCGTCTGCTGCGCCTCCTCCGGCGGCTTTTTCTTCTTCAGAAAGAACGGCGTCAGTCTCTCGGCGAGCGGTCGCGACGACGATCCGGCGTCGTGCACGTTCGACGTCGAATTGGAGGTCTTCAGGGGCTTGGCGGCGTTCGTCTGCGACTTGATCGGATTCGATTTCCTCTTCATGCTTATTCTGGAGAAGGTCGCGTACTCCTTGTCATCGGCGTGATCCCTGTCGGGGGTGGTCTCGTTAGCCTCGTCGTCGGGCGGGTCGTCCTCGCAGACCTTGAGCACGCAGTACGTGTCTCTCTGGAGCTCGTCGAGGAGGCTGTCGTCGTTGGACACCGAGTCGATCTTGCTGCCCGGCCGGTCGATCTCCTCGAGGTTCCGGATGCCGTCGCCCGGGAGGCTCGTCGTGGAGCCGGCGGGCGAGCGAGCACTCGGAAAAAACGTCGCTGAGTCCTCCGGGGAGGGGGACCTCGCGCGAGTCCTGGTCGGATCCAGCTCGAGGGGTTTCGGATGGAGGCGAGCTTTGGCGGCGGTGTGTCCGCGCGGGGGAACGGCGGGGGGCGCGTCCTCCTCGCCGGGCGGTCGCGCGTGACTCAGAAAGTTGGTCATCAGCTCGTACTCCTTGCACCGGTACGAGAGGTCCGGTCTGTCGGGCGGGCTCGCGTCCGGCTTCGGTCTGCGCTCGGGGGGCCGCGGCTCCACCTCCACGTACTCACAGAGGGGGGCGGAGGCGACGAAGGGGACGCGCGAGGGCGAGAGGCGGGCCGGCTTGGGAGGCCGGGCCGGTTTGTCGGCGGAGGCGTCGCTGTCCTCGGAGGGCTCGTGCTTGAGGCAGGACATGGTGAGGTACCCGCTGGTGGTGGACTTGTTGGACTTGCCAGAGGATCGCTCGTCGGCGTGACGCGCGAGCTTGACGGACTCTGTGCTGGAGCCGATGTCGAAGGAGGACTGCAGCGGCAGCGACTGGCCGTCCAGGTCCACGGTGGGTGACGTGTCGCCGCGCCACGCCCGCCAGTGGAACGGGTCGCCGTCCACGTTGCCCGCGGCACCCGCCAGGTGGAGGTAGTTGTCGTCACCGATAGGCGCTTGCCTGTTCAAATTTATACAAACATTAATTCTCCATTATCCTTTCTACGTCATCATCAGCATATTTTTGTCTCCATCACGCAGTCCCAGTGCGGATTGGTGGATATTAACGACTGCAGATGCAGCAGGGACCAAGGGCTTAACGTGCCTTCTGATGCATATAGGAGGTCGAGATAATATGACAGGCGAAAAGTTGCTTAACTACCTTATCGCAAAACGAGTGTGCTAACCACTTGTTATACTCTATATTAAATGAATCTACTCCTTACGTAATAGCATTAAATTAAGAATATAGTAAGACGTAATCGCAATTAGCTTACTTGCTGCCATATTTGGTCTCTCGGGCGAGCGATCGCCTGTAGATACGATGCCGGTGTTCGAGATCGAAAATGGCTTCTTGCAATTCTCGCAACGTCGACGCTTCGGCTTCGCGATCTTCTATACTGGTGCCATCTAGAACAACAAAATAATTAAAATTTAGTTTCAAGTTCCCAATATTTGATTGTAAATTAAATTAGTCCGTTTATCTAAGTATTATTCTAGTATTGGATACCGGCATATTCGGCAAACTGGGAGGCTGGAGCGCCGGATATCTGTTTACGACGACTCTTTAATCGGGTTCGTTCAAAGATGAAACTGGATCCGACTTCATACATGAAGCTCATGGACAAATCAATTTTAGTGGTCAGTAAAGTTCAATCAGTATCCGCAGTTGTCAAGGTTTCCTAGAATGAATCTTTTTTTATTTAGAATAAATGCAATAAAAAGCTGCACCTGGAAATAGCATTTACATAGGAATGGTCTGAGCCCCAACCTATTCCCCTGGGGACAGTATCCAATACTAGTAATAGGCTGGCGATGATAATGATGAGCAGAGTCTTGCCTATAGGCAAACTAGTTATTTGGATTAAGGCTATTTAGAGGGCGGTATGGCACGATAAACAAATTACGTTTGCTCTATGAATATTAAAACTGCAGTACCTTAAAAAAATACTTTCCGTGGTATTCAGAAGTGCAAAATTCTTTTCATTAGAATATACCTACAGTATTATGTTGTATGAAACAGCTGATTATTTTTTGGTGAATTCAGTGTTGCTCCTATAGTAAAAGTTGTTAGTACATTTAACTTATCCACCTCACGAATTCCTGGCACATAACAATATTACACCTTATACATCTGTTGATATTTATCAGCGAACCCTGTTTCGTAGTAATATTTGTAGAGCACCAAGTGCCGGCGTTACATTGCGCAGGCGCCGATGGTAACTGAGCGTACCTGGTGGCCTGAGCGCCGATGGTAACCGAGCGTACCTGGTGGCCTGAGCGCCGATGGTTATCAAGCGTACCTGGTGGCCTAAGCGCCGATGGTAACAGAGCGTACCTGGTGGCCTGAGCGTCGATGGTAACAGAGCGTACCTGGTGGCCTGAGCGCCGATGTTAACTGAGCGTACCTGGTGGCCTGAGCGCGCATGGTAACTGAGCGTACCTGGTGGCCTGAGCGCCGATGGTAACTGAGCGTACCTGGTGGCCTGAGCGCGCATGGTAACTGAGCGTACCTGGTGGCCTGAGCACCGATGGTAACTGAGCGTACCTGGTGGCCTGAGCGCCGATGGTAACTGAGCGTACCTGGTGGCCTGAGCGCGCATGGTAACTGAGCGTACCTGGTGGCCTGAGCGCCGATGGTAACTGAGCGTACCTGGTGGCCTGAGCGCCGATGGTAACTGAGCGTACCTGGTGGCCTGAGCGCCGATGGTAACTGAGCGTACCTGGTGGCCTGAGCGCGCATGGTAACTGAGCGTACCTGGTGGCCTGAGCGCCGATGGTAACTGAGCGTACCTGGTGGCCTGAGCGCCGATGGTAACTGAGCGTACCTGGTGGCCTGAGCAGCCGCTCGTCGAGCCGCTGCGCGTGCTGCACGAGTAGCGCGTGCAGCCGCTGCAGGTCGCGCGCGGGGTCCAGCCGCAGCGCCAGCGCGGACCCGGAGGTGGCGCCGCAACCCTCCGCACCGGCCTCGCTCCTACCGCAACTGTTTATAGAAGCAACAACATAATCAATCATCCATCCTATTGATTTTTATTAGCCTAATTAAAGGCTTTATTCAGATCTTTTTGTAGTATTAATGCCCGCTGGTAGGAGCGCTATTGACCTGTGTAAAGGGTTTTGTAAAAAATAGCCTATTTCAGGCACCAGCTCTTCACAATGACAATATATACTCGAAAGATTGGAATTCCTATTTTGTACTAAAAAAAACCTATTGTGAAGAGGAAATATATGTATTTATTATTATAGTTATAAGGTCATCTTTAGGCTTGGCCATAAATTCATTCACATCCTCAATTGCAGCTTGAGAATAAATTTTTAGGTCATCACCATACAGGTAAAATTGACATGATAGGAGTTAGGTGGTTAATAAAGACAAAAAATAGAAAAGGAGAAAGGACACCACCCTGAGGCACGCCACCATTGACACTACAAAAACTTCATACACTGTCATCGAATCGGACACATTATTGTCGGATAATTCAGTCTAGGCTGTTATGAGTCCTGAGTTATTTAAATAACAACCCCGTGACGTTATATGTAAATAGATTATATAGATAGCAACAAAAGGCGAAAGATAAATTATATGTTAATTATTGAAATAATATGAATAATCCCAAAAATATTGTTAAAATAATATGATTGCATGAATTTTTAGAAAATAATTAATACATATGTAAATATTGAGGTATATGGAAAATAATAAAAAAAAATACTTTTGCTTTGTAATAACGGTATAACAAACGGAAAGGTCATTTTTAAGTAAAGAAAAATAATAATGAAATGCGAGACATTAGATATATTTACTATTAGTGAAATTATGTTTACTTATTGTGAAAATCATAATAGCAGTTGCTATATTAGTCAACAATAACAAGTAACAACAAAACAATAACATAACAAAAATGATGTGTGATAGCAACACAATCCAACTCAATAACTGTACTTCTACTCAATACTGTGTGACGTCAACCAGTGTTTATTTGTTAACGGTACTGATTATTTAACGCAATTACGTCATCAAAATGGCGGCCAGAAGCATTAGCAATGTCCCGCACATTTCCCGCTTATACAACCACTTGTGAAAATATAAACCTTATGCCAACGATTGGTAAATCTACAGACCTTGTACCGAGAGGAACCGGCAAGGGACTCAATAATAATATTTAGGGTAAACGCACAACAAGGATGTTTCCCACAAGTGCAAATTCAGGTTTCTATTATACTACACCTATACTATTTCCCCGAAAATTTTGACTGTTTTCGAAATTCTAATACGTCACCAAAGAAACAAATTTTTCGATAATTTATGATGCCACGGAAGTGGATCCTGACATTGCCTCAGATGCACAAATATGATTTCAATAAAATCATAAGAACGATTTGAGTTTCGTATCAATGATCCGTCACGGGATCGGTGACAAAAACTGCATTATCTCGTTAAGCTGTTAGTAACAGCCACCAATCGGCACTGCGTCCGCGTGACGAGTCAAGGCCCATTCTCCCTATTCGATTCCATCCATAAAGCCTGAGCCCCAGGAGTGGGCACATTATTAGGCTGGTGATTCTATGCTACTTACCATGTCCAATGCGTGTCCTTATAATATCCGCGGTGTGGGGGCGCATTGCCGGCGCGACATAACGCCCCCAATAGCCGCACCCACTCCGCTCGCTCCACGCAGTTGCTGGCTTGAACGAATAACACGCGATCCCTGTGCACTATTAATAAAATAAAAAAAACACATTCTTAATGAAAAATGCTTATAAAATCCGCTTGCACCAGTCTCTCTGTGGTGGGACACGAACCCTACTTTTAGCAATCCGAGCGAATATCTAACCACTGAGCTACCCAGGACTTAACAGGACTGACGAATTTTTCAAGCACTTGTAACTTTTCGCTACTAATGAGCGTATTCTCATCAATCTCAGAGTACCTGGGACATTTAATATTAAGATTAATTTTTAGTACAGCATTGTGAATAAAAATTGATCAAATTAAAATTTAATGAGTTATGACTGTCGAAAATTATCATCTTCATATGACAATAACTAGTAAGTTTTATTCATATATTTTATTTCATGCAAAGATAAAATAATATTGATATTAAATTACAAAGTACAGTACGCGATATGAAATTAACCCTGCGCGCAGAAACTAAATATATTAATAAAAATAATAAACTGATCTCAAAAAACCTTTAAAAAGTGAAAACTAATAAGCAAGGCAATAAATATGTTCTAGAAACTTCTATTTAATTTGGGTGGTTAACATTACAAAACTGTAGCTAAGTCACGCTTCATCATCTACACAAAAACAAATCATATCGTAACGACTAGCTAGAAAGCAACCACCATTCTTTTACTATAGTCTTTTACGGTCGCTGAACTGATAGATCTTCGTACAATGAACCGGAATTACACATCTTTTTCACGCGTGCGCTATTGCATTTGCACAGATGCACCTAGGCAATTTTGTAAAAATGTTTACAATTTTATTACGATTTATAATGTCGATCAAAGTAGAAAATTCTCTCTTTTTATATTCTCTCTATTCATTTAACATGTTATTTAATTGAGTTTTTTGGTCACGATGGTAATGGACAATTTAATGGACATTAAAGTTGAGTAGTGGAGGCTTGCTACGTCACAATTAAGTAGAAAATATACAAAGGTGTGATGTCATACGATATTTCAACTCAATGTATCACCGTAATTTATTGATTACGAAAAAAATACGTTTTTAATATTCTTCAATAATCTACCTAACGGACAAACAAACAAAAACAGTCATCATCCCTATTGTTAGATTGTTTTTTCTTTTCTTTCCCTTATAAGGCAAGATGACATAGATGTATTGTGACCATACCTATTTGGAAGATATTGTTGGCACCCAGCGGCGCGCCGGCCGGCGGACAGTCGACGGTTGCGACGGCGAGCACGCCCGATAACGATAACCGGTTCGCAGGCGTCTTCGCCCCACACCGAGACCACGTTAATTCGCAGCTACGGATATACATACAACATTATAATTTACTAGCTTTCCGCTAGCGGCATCGCCCGGATTGTTCCTTAGATGACTGTTTATTTGGATATCGATTCATATCATGACACGGATATAATAAAATGAAAAATTGAATAGTAAACAATGGTTACTATGGTAACTATTTTCTTCCTTTTATTTGCTGTTTTTCAGGATATAAAATATTCACCGCATATGATGTAGCTTTTCATAGGTGAGAGAATTTTAAAAATCGGTCCAGTCAAAGTCAAAGTCAAAATAATCTTTATTCAAATAGACTTCTTAAAAGTACTTTTGAATCGTCCAACATTTTTTCCCTACCACTCGTTCAGGACGTCTTTTGGCTGATAAGAAGAACGAGCAAGAAACTCACCAGCTCTAATATGAGTAATGACATTTACAAAAACCATGTCATTACCAGATCAATACATTATAAACAGAGATAAAAAAAACTATGGTCTTATAATAATAACATAATCATTTAATAATAATGGAAACAAGATAATGAGTTTAGAAGTAATCACCTATCCAGTTGCTGGATCATCTCAAGTCCAAGCGTTCTTATCTGTTACATAATCGGATACCTTATAATAAGCTTTTTTAAGTTAGTAGTAGTTTCGGAGCCTATTCGTTGCAAACAAATAATCAAGTCTTTCCTGTTTATAATATTAGTATTTTAGATTACAATCTAGGGAACTATAGGCCTTCAGTTTGATCCCACCAAAAAAATCCTGTAAAAAATTAGAGATACTGAGATGATCTCTAAGCAAAGCCATATTTAAGGTTATTTATTGCGATTTCTTTATTAATATAGTTAAGATTTTGTTACCGGCCATTGAATATTTTTTATGTGCATTTACTTATTGAAACATGCAAGTTAAATCAAAAGCACTTAACGAAATAGATTTCGAGCTACGGCGTAATGGTGCGTTCACACGACAACGATAAAACCTTGCAATCCTTTTGTACAACTGTATTATGAACAAAATCTAATTATAGATTTTAATCCTAGGAATTGGTAGATCTACTCTGCGCAATGTAAGATTCGCCATGTACCATATTAATTCGAACTTACTGTACAACAATTTATAGAGTAGAATACTTGAATACGTTTACTTTATGAAACATGTATTGATTCTAAATTATGTGTTTCAGCCCGTTAGTGGTTTTAATTTGCGAATAAACAGTGCATTAAAATAAGATAATATGTGCACAGAGTTAACTATTAAATTTAGAATTTTTATCTAAATCTGTTCAGTAGTTTTTGCGTGATAGGGTACCAAACATATACATCCTCACAAACTGCCCCATTCATAATATTAGTAGATAGTAGGTATTAATACATACCTGGTGAGTCTGAAGTGTCTTCGTTTGGCGTGCGCGTGCGCCGGTCGCGTCCATCTTCTACGAGGAGATCCAGCGCCTGCGCGTACATCTTCCGATCGTTTTATCATTGTCCTGATTAACAAATATTACTTGTTGATTACTATTCCTTATCTTAACATCGTCTAACGGCTAAAGTCTTATTATAAAACGGTTATGTATTCTCTTCACTTATTATCAATTTTCTTTAGGTGGTCAGTTGTTTAATTCGAGTATGTGCTACGAAAAAATTCCCTTTCAAAACTAATTTACCGTTTCACTATCAGTTCTGGTGTTTGACATATGATAATTTACTTAATTATTTGATTAACATATGATGACATAACAGCGATCAAATAATAAATATTGCCTTTTCCGAATCAATCAATTTATAAACATTTGTGAGCTTTATATCTAAAGCAGCAAGACATAGTTTTGCGTATTTTTATCCACAATATGATTGTCTATGCGTCAGGAAGATTATTTAGAAATATTAAACACGTATTTTTACATTTTTGCGTTTTTTTTTTAAACAAATTTTATAGATTATGTGTATTTAAAAAAATAATATTATAATATTTTAAAAAATATAAAAAATTATCTCTCATATATTAAAAACGAAAAATAAAATTCATGTACAAAATAGTCAGCCTTTTATTAATTTGTCTAAGAATCGAACCCGTCACAACCTTTGTACATATTCTCCATATTTGTGACATAGTGAGCTTCCACTACGCAACTTTAAAGCCTATGATCTAAGCCATTTCTTGTTAAGGCAAAAAATACGTATCTAACATTTTTCCATTATTTAACTAATGGACTAAATGGAATCTCTTTTTTTACCCAGTCATTATCTCTATTATATATTCTTAATTATTTGCCATAATAATTTATTCAGATTTCAAAGATAACTAATATTACATACCCATATCTCCAATATCCAAATGAAGCACAAACAGATAAAAGAAACTGTTTAGATTTTAACAAATAGCCTTGATCTGAATTTTTGTACTTTAAAAAAATGTTAAAACTTACCCTTCTTTGAGTAAGACTGGCGTTTCTTGGACGTTATTGTTTTGAGTTTCAGTACTGGTGGAGATTATTTCGAGGAACTGTCTTATTGCTTGCACCTGTTGAAAGGACATAAAATATTATGGTGTTATTATTGATTTATTACTGATACAAAACTGTGGACATCCCGGGAAAGAGAAATGAAAGTGGGTTCTGAACTGAGAGTAATATTGAAAATGATAATAAAAAAATTATGAATATGAATAGAAAAAACTTAGAAGAGTTCCAGCAAGATTTAGGGTCGGTGGATACGGTAGTTTCAGAGCTTAAGAACGGATATATGGTTTCGTTAGCTCGACACACTGACGGATAATGAAATCAATTGGGTACTTGGCAGTTATAACAATAATTTATGAATTATGTCAGATTCATCATCGTGCTTTGTGTGACGTCACATTTTAATAAATAACACTTCAAAGTCTTTATTGTGAAATAAAATTAACCTTTTTTAATTATTATTTATGGAGTAAAATATGGGTTAAAATTATTAATATGAAAATAATCCTCCCAAAACAGTCAAGTAGCCGATTGTATGAACAAGATGTGGTAGCTCTAACATTCCGCAACCTATGATATGCATTGCATTTTCCATCAGATATGGGCCAATTCATGTGTGTATCGTATTGGTTTCAAAATAAAGCAGAAATCAAAAACGGCTAGTGAGTGTAAATACCATCATTAGTGCGAGTGCTTTATTTCCGTGAACGCATAGGAAATTATGAATAACCATACATATTATAATGAATGTGGTTTGACAATTGACTATCGTCTCACACATCCGCTTTGATTTTGAAGTAGATCCTTGCGCTAAGTTTTTTAATGAACAGATATTGATATGATAGTTTTATACTGACATGTCTGGGCGTGCAGAAGCTGCGGTATAGTTCAGCCATATACTCCTCCTTGCACACCTGCTGTGCCGATCTACTGCTCACTAGGTTACCAAGAGACTGGATCGTCTTAGAGATCAATGTCAACGTCCGATTCGTCTGCGGATCCTGTGCAATACAAATGTTATATGTATTTTAATTTCGTAAATAATAGTTCATGGGTTGTTGTCAGCTCTTGAACTAAATCAATAATACTCTTACAAGAAGGGGGGCATATACGAAGTTTGTACCCCCGTAAAGAAAATCGTAGATTAGGGACCCATTTGCCCCCTCTCAGGGCAGGTTCAGTGGTTTGAGAACCCTGATTTAAAACATAATGTGCATATATTAGTTGCCAAAAAAGGTCAGTGTCCTAAGCGACAAAAGTTTTCATAGGATAACAGTGCTGTTATATAGCAAACGTAAGTCTTTTTGTATTGACTTCAACAGACGGAGTATACATTATTTTTTCTTATAAAATTACCTTTTTTACCACTTTTAGTTAGTAGAAAAAACGCATTCTTTAAGTTTTTTTATTTTGAAATCTATTTTTGTAGTTCTTGTTCAGACGCCACAATACGCTAATGTATGAAAACAAGCCCAGGATTTACACTTTAAAAATTAAGCACGTACCTAGTACGTGATTTTTTATGACTCATGTATATCAGCGGCTATTCTCGTTACAGTCGTAAAATACTCACAATCTGTTCCGTGGTGAGATCGAACAGTCTCGGTCCTAGTATGGCGGGCGCGAAGAATCTCAGGAATATGAATCCCGACACGACCGAGTATCGCACCTCTGCGTTCCGCGGGAAATGTCTCGCGGCACATTGACGGAGAGCGTCGAAAAGGCGACACATCGCCGCCGGACACGATTCGTACGATGACGTTATCGCTGAGAATACCTGGCATGAAAAACATCAGAAAATAATAACAAAAAATAAATAACACAGGCATAATATCATCATCATCATCAACGACAGCCCTTTGTACGTCCCCACTGCAGGAGCTCAGAGTTTCCTTACGGATGGTTGAGGAGGATAAGTCAAGACCCTCCACGCTGGCCCAATGCGAATTGGAAGCTATTAAGGACTGCAAACGCAACACGGAGTAGGTCAAGATAATATTTTTTTTGGTCACCCATCCCGTGACCGACCCTTGCGAAAGTTAGTGAACGACATTCGCGAGTCATGGTGCTTATCTACTACGCCACCGAGCTACTCAGTTATAATATACACTTCTTTATTTAATAAATCTTGAAACTTTCACAGAGAAACGGGAATAGCCCTGCGAGTCTGTAAAAATCGAAACTGAATTCTGACTGACGCAGATATTTTCTATCAAACAATGTCCATGAAAATTAGCAACTTGACAATATCAGAATAAATGATGAAATATGTCGAAAGTGATAATATATATTTAAGAAATAACTATGTAATTTTGTTTTTGCAAAATTTACTAGCGATTTATAATCTGTGAAAGAACCGAAGCGCGGGCGGCCATGACGGAGCGTCGTGTGACGTCATATTTCAATATACAAAACGCCAATATTTACGAGTGCAACCAGTATTCATGTTTATTGAAAATGTCACGTTTATTTTTTTTTTTTATATAAATTTAAATAAGTTATTAAAATACTTTTATTTTATTTTATGGCACTTTTTGGAAAATAATAAATGTGCGAGCATGTAATAATGAAAATATGAAAGTCAAGTAGCCAGTTGCCGCCCCGCCCACGTTTTGTATGGTTCGACTTTTGGGTAAACCTATATAACAAAGATCTTACAATCAGTGAAGATAAATAAATCACTATAAGGTTTTTCCGCTATAATCTTGCCCCAAATAGGTTTTCGAGTGTATTGCTATAAAGTTCACCTGAGTAGTATTGTAGGGAATTAGAATTTGATTTTCATAACCCTCTTCAAAATAGTAGGAACTGCGATTTTCACACGTTCTACTTCTTTCAAACTTCTGAATTAAACTAAGTATTTGTCTTAAATTAGTAAGACTACTGGCTCATAAATGACGTTATATAATAAAACGTAAATAGAAATAATTCGCGATATTTCAAACTTTTATCAAAACTACATCACATTGAGTACTAACCCTCTCTACGTAGTCTTTCAAATTGGCCAAATTGGTAGATATAGCAGCGGAGGGCTTAACCCGTGCCGGGTCGATCTCACAGGGGCGGCGTTCTGCCAATACCGCGGCCAGCGTGGGGCGAAGCACCCCTCGTAGATACGACGCGCCAGTAAGACGCATAGTCTCGTCCATCATCTTAGACACTAAAGTATTGCCACGAAATATCGTAGTCGCGTCACTGAAAAACAAATACACCACGATAAAAATATTTATTGCAGAGCTATAAGATATGTTAAGCTGTAACAGTCTCTCGCTTTAGATTTGTGACTCAACGGCATAGTATTTTAAAATGTACAGGTGTAGTAAAAGCGTATACTGAATCGATTATTTGCTTCTAATCCAATCGTTCCGCTATTGCTTGTGCACTTTTATCTGTTCGTGCAGGAATGCGCTTTTCGTGCCTGTTTTTCCTGCTTTCGATTGAAATAAATATAAATAGCTTCTCGGTTCGATACGCGCACTATAAATGAAACGTACGTTATCAGCTTGCACAAAAAGCCTATCAGATTTTAGGGGTGGCATGTTAGGAACTAATCTGATGGTCTACCCTGTTTCTTTACGAGCAAAAGTTCAGATATTTTCGAATTGTCCTTAATTATATTAATAATCTAAAACAGAGGATTTGGGATGACGACATAATTTTTCAGGACGGGATGTCACCCATCCCGTGACCGATCCTTGAGTAAGTTGCTTAACCACAGAGCTTATACACCACCGAGCTACAAGTTTAGAGGACATAAATAACAGTTTGAAGTCACTCACGTGAGAGCAGATATCTCAGAGTCCGCGAGCTCCTTAACTATGGGCACAATGAGATCATGATGAGTGAACAGCCGCACCAGGGGCTGCGCCGCATCATTCTTACTTGACACTATCTCTCCCAAAATGTATACCGCAGACGCTGTTATTGGCTGTAGACAACAGGATAGATCATATAAAATCTATGATTTCACTTATAATACTAGCTAACGGCCGCGCTCTGCAAGGATTGTTTTCTTTGGTACTCTAATAAGAAACACAAAATTACGTTAAATTAGTAAAAATTTATATTATCAAACAGGACTGATACTAAAATTGTAATTTTTGCGTAAATTACTCTAACGATAAATCTTGTTTATTAATAGCATTAATAAAATCCTATGTTGCTACTAATCCGACACAGAGCTGAAATATATCTATTTGATTTTTCAGCACTGAACATAAAAAATAATGAACCTTACAAGATTTATGCATATAGAAAAAAAAACATTACGACACAAAGTTTGTCTGCGAAAATTGAAATTTTAGTTTGTAATGAGCTGTTTCCAGTAAACAGGACGTCAGGTTTTTATAAATCGATCAAATTAAAGACTTGATTTTAAGCTTTATGAACAAAACGTGGGCGGAAACATATATATAATTTGCCTATTTTAAAATATTAAAAGAATATAGATAACATCATTTAAATTCTTGATAAAAATGCTTAAAAATCCATCGAGTCCTATTTTAGAGTACCTAGGGCTATTGATACCTAGGGATATTGGCATTTTTCATAAAGCATATTTTCCAGTATAGCATTGTGAATGCAAAATTGATTAAATATAATAATCACATACACTGTTCTGATTCCAAGATGAGTAGCTAAAGCCCCTGTATCATTGCATATTTGAGACAACGAAGACACCACGACACCTAGACCCTAGACAATATAGGAAAGTTCATTTTCTACATTGACCCGACCGGGAATCGAAACCGGCACCTTAGAAATGGCGACACCTTCCACAAGCCACTCGGTTACGGAGGTCGCCTTCGCAAGCAAAGTTCAATAACTATTACCTTCTGATGTACACTTCGCAGGAACAGATCCTCCAACTTCCGGTAATGGTCTAGTGGGAACACATGATCAACTGTGTACTGGAGTAGCAACCTCAACGAGCCGAGGGTCGAACTGCCAGCAGATAACCTCGTCCCTGGGGGCGTCGCACCGCGAGATAATGCTCCTCCCGCGCGGGACGTTAAGAAGAACCTGCAAGATAAATATCAATATGCACAACTGCAATATAATCATTCGATCAGCATCTTAAGCCTGGCGTCCACTAGAGGCGCGCCGAGTTGAGTCAAAACGTAAGGCCGAATATTTGACTTGGACCTCAATAGGGATAATGACTGGATAAAAAAAGAAATTTTATTTACTCCGTCAGTCAGATAATAGTAAAATATTAGATTTGTATTTTTTGCTTCAATTAAAACAAGAATTGATTTAAATAATAGGATTAAAGTTGAAGAGTAGGGGCATGCTACGTCACAATTTTGTAGAAAATGTACAAAAGCGTGACGTCATGCGACATTTCAACTCAATGTATCGCCGTAATTTATTGTTTACGCAAAAAATAAAAAAATACGTATTTAATATTCTTCAATAATTTATCAGACGGACAAATAAAGAAAAATTAGTCGTCATCCCTATCATCAATTTTTACATAATAATCGTATCACAATAGAATCTCAACTAGCATTTTACCATTGTATTATCTAACCCGAAGTCCAATAGTATTTAATTATATATATTTTATTATATTAGTGCAATGTCTTCCTCACATATTCATTGACAGATATATTTATTATTTTGTGATCCAATAACAAGAACCGTGTCAGAATCGCTATTGACTTTCCATGGTTACGCTGACAAGTCTGTTAAAATTGCCCTACAGTGCTCTCGTCAAGTTATATTACTAAATGTATTGTATATACATATAATTAATACATAGATGGTGACTTATTGCGATTAGTTTCGGCGCGCCTAGTAGACGCTAGGTTTTAACATCTCCATTGCTGAGGTATAGACTTTCATTATGGCGGCATGCCAACCATTGGAAGAAAAAGTTGTAATCTTACGAATAAGCACTGCATCATATACAATCTTATTAATAAACAAGGTTTAGCGTTGGAATAAATTTACGCTGAGACTGCAGTTACTATTAGTCAAATGTCATATAAACAGACACTTAGCAAAGTTTAGCCTAGTACGAGGTTCTACGGGAGTAATATTTACTCCTAGAAGGTAGTAGATTTGCTTGGTCTCTGTATAATATGAATTTAGACTAATACTAAAATTGCAATTTTAGCGTAAAAATACTCTGACGCTAAACCTTGTTTATTTACTGTATTTACTTGTACTTCAGTTTTATTCGTGTGTACCTTTCGTCTACCAGTCCCACTAAACAAATTATGTTGTTTTACACAAGCATTCTGATTTATTAACTGGCATGGTTATTGTATGTGTATCGAGCCTTACCAAGCACGGAGGGGAGAAGGCGCCGTTTGCCGTAGTTGTAATCTCACTTCTCCGAGGAAGACCGGTGTCGCTGCGTCGTGCCATACGGACACCCTAGCCTCACATGCTACGCCAGCCTGGGGAAGTAATAAGCATATCATTAAAAACTAACTCATTTAGATTTTGATTAGCTTGTGTTTATTGCATTGCACCATCATGAAATTATGTACCTAGTTTCTTTTTCAACGACTTAAAGAAGGAGGTTCTCAGTTTGACCTGTATGTGTGGTTTATGCGCGATTTTCTCGCGTTTGGCTGAACCTATTTTGATGCGGTTTTCAGTATAGTATTTGTCATACTTAGGAGAAGGTTTTAGGTATATTAACCTACTAAGAAAACGGAGGTGTGCACTTTAATACGGTTTTAACGCGGATTTCAGAAATGTATTTTTAGTGTAACTGTTACGGACTCTTTAAGAGCTGGCCACAAGGCCGTTTACAAGAACAATAAGCGATTCATAGTTCTACAAATTCTACATATTCGAAAAAGTCTACCAGACTTTGGGTCGTTAAGTCACGTCCATACTTCAAATATACTGCTATTGACCATCCTAAAAAAGAGAGGCTGATGTGTTGTGAGCCAGCATACGAGTATGACGAGCCACTTAGTAAAGCGGACAGCAACGATTTATCTCACAGCATTAATAAACTTTTAGCAGGCTCACTAGCAACAATTTACCCACTTTTAGAGGATATGCTCTTGATTAGTTTCGATTCAAAAATGCGTTTGATTGGCCAGGGTTGGTATTCAGAGAAGGAGATCTTTGCCCGATTTCAAAAATGTCTCAAAGGCGCAGCGTTGTATTGATATTCTAACCCAAAGAGTCGAGTGAAGCTTCTGTCAATTTACTCCAACAGGCAGATGCGATTGAGCGTACTTTAGATGTTATTTGGAAACCTGATATAAATACTTTGAGTTTTAAACTGCATACGTAAACAGATGATGTTCAATGGCTCCGTGAGTTAAATACTTTCAAAGATTTCTCTATTCCTAGATATAATAGATTTATCAAGTTTGACAAACTACAACTACATGTATTTGTTGATGCGTCTGAAGAAGCATACGCTTGTGTTGTGTATTAACGTAGACATGATCATATTGTGTTTGTTGAAGCTAAAATAAGATTAGACTAGAAGAAGGAAAATAAGATTTTTGTTTCGAATCGCTTAGCAGAAATTTTATCAGCTTAGTAGCTGATGACGCTACTAGATCTAAAGATTATTTAACCTTTGACGCTCAAAGGGCTCAAGAAGCTCTTTAGAGCTTCTTGAGCCCTTTGCCAAAATGAAAGAATGGCAAATTTTCAGGTGAATTTTCAGATGATGACCTACATCTTACAATCACAGTGGAGATAAGCTTAACGTTTAGCAGATAAATTTTGGTCGTATTAGTTACAGGACTATCTTACAAGCCTCCAAACCCGCCATCGCTGGGTGTCTGATACAGGGAGTCGAGTAAATATTGAAGACACAATTCTTATAGCTAATTCAAATTTAGTTTGACCCAGAGGTCAAGTGAACAAACAACCTGGTCATGATGGTCGAACTCGCACAGTAGAAATTGTGACTAAAGGGGGCATTTTAAAGAAGCCTGTAAGTAAAGTGGTTGTGCTAGTGAGTCCCTCGCATGAGTAGGCTTAAAGCGAGGAAGAGTGTTACAGACTCTTCTAGAGCTGGCCGCATATCGGTACATTATTGTATTTATATTAGTGTTCTATTCTTTTTGATTTCTGACTTTAAAAAAAACTGTCAAAGGTATTAAAAAGTAACTTTTTTAATAAAATAGATATTGGTTTTTATTTATAAACCTCTTGAAATAGTTATCGATTATACAAAAAATATGAATATCGCCAAAAAGCATGAAATAAAAACTTAAAACCGACTTTCAACTTAGAATTAAACTTTTGTTTTTAAATTCACATAGAATAAAAAATACTTGCCGTTTGGGAGCTGTCCTTGTCTTTGGGATCGGCGTCCATGACGAGATCAAAACGAAATATATCATCGAATTGAGGGTTCACAGTCTTTTTTCTGGGTTTAGTGCGTTTCTCAACTTTTCGTCCATTCGAGTACAACAACGTGACGAGAGCGAATGGATCGCACTGCCCATTTTTAGTGGTGAGTTCGGAACACTCGAGAACTCTCAGTCGAAGCGTGTCGGGTCCGACGCGAGCCGCACAGTGTCGCTCCGGATCCGACCAGTAATCGGCGGCGGTGGGTGAGGGTAAAGCGTCCGATTCGGACATAGCATGCATGGGAGGTTTATTTCTGCCCCCCCATTGCGCTCTGTCTTTCAGACTTTCAGAACGTGATAAAGCTAAAGAAGGTTCCGTCGCTGCGGAACTTAGAAGTTTCTTACTCGTCGAACTTGAACACGAGCCGAACTTCATACTCTCTTTGCAGTACTCGGAGAGTCTAACGAGGTTATTTCCTTTCAGCTTCGACGTGTTGCTATCGTAATCGGCGGGGTCAGGTGGCTTCGGTTCCATACGGAGCCGTTTTCTTGAGTCTTCGAGTGACAGCTCGATATGCGCTTTGCCTTGCACCTCTGAGTCTGCATCGACTGGCCGCAAGGCGAACCAGTGGTCTTTCTTATATAGGTGGAGATCTTCGCGTTTGATAGCAACTTTGCCGAGCACTTTATCCTGTTTAAGATGTTTGTCACGGTCAAACACGTATATTGAAAGGTATCGAAATCTTCTGGGGACCTCGAACTGGAACTCTTCTCCGAAAAAGGGACTGTAACAAGAAACATATACTTGTGATAACAATACAAAACAATAGATATGATATTACATGACGCGGCGACTGTCAGAGCTATCATGAGCTAATATTTATTTTCGTCTGTTAGTTGCGTTTATACAACAATCGTTATCATGCTTTCGACTGACATTATATTTATTACAGTCTCTTGTTACAACTTGCAATCGCGTGGGGTGTCTTGCATCTTTATCGCCCACCAGTTTGCAAATTACACATTTATTCGATACCTTATTAAATTGTGAAGTAACACTGAGAGGAACTTGAGTTCTTTTAATTTAAATAACAAGTGCGTTAATTTAGTGTTTAAACCGAATTGCTAATAAAGGAACTGGAAGGAGCAATAAAATGCACTGAATTAATGCATTGTAAGGAACGAGCTCATAAAATTTGTATCGGCTGAATTCCATTTAAAATCAAGTTAACATTACAGCGTTTATTGGCTGTTATTGTTTCAAAATAAGATAATGACAACCTTGCCGTTGCATGAATGAATGTTGAAATGATACCGAATTCGCACTGGAGCAAAACTGGATTGTAAAAAGATGTTTGTCAATCGATGTAAAAATACGTATAAAAAATATTAATATATTCAATTTGTTTTCTCTATCAGCCTATATGTTTTATATATTAATTATTATTTTGATTTTTGACGTATAGAAAGTGTTCTAACATCATTACCAACTTATTAATATCGTCACTGCTCCGGTACATGATATGGTATCAAATCGAACAGGGAGAATGGGCCATTACCCACCACTGGAGCCCAGTGCGAATTGATGGGTGTTAACGACCTCAGAAGCCGGGACCAACGGGCTAACGCGTCTTTCAAAACACGAAGGAGCTCGACGTAATATTTTTTTGGTCTCGTATGAAATGTACCCGTTGTCGACTATTAGAATTTATTCTACCAAAATATGAATTCGTAGAGCAGCTTCTGGTAGTAATAATTGTATTCAGATTCAGAAATAATTTTACTACCATGTTGACTGTTATTATCGACGCACGCGTGCGTAGGCCTCCGCTGCGGTGAAAGTCAGTCTTTCCAGTTTCACCGACGCCTTTTTTTACAAGCGTTACCATAAAAAATATGTTGCAAAATAACATTTCTTAAATGATAAATAAGTCATTACGGAAATATATCCGTAATGCAAATACTGAAACTACGGAAACTATGTAATATTTTTTTTAACAATAAAAATATATCAGTTCTAACGAAAGACAATAAGCACCTACATATATGCAACGCTTCATATAGAATTTCATGATGGGATAAAAACATAAGTTTCTGACCTATCTCTTATATAAATAATTTTTTATTATTGCATTAGTTGTTTATAATGAATTACTCTCACAAATAATTATGTTCACGATGATAATGAATTTTGCAAAATTATAAGAACTATAACAAATTATCTGAATTTTCGTTCGAGGACAAATAGGCTCACAGGTGTTATGTTAATTCCTACGGGTTATATTTAACTGGTTGTGTTAAAATTGCAGTGGTCGGTTTAGGCGTCAACGCGCGCCCGCGCATTCACCACTCCCGCGCTAAGCCTGGGCGGTTCCGCCTCCGGTTTACAATTTATAAATACCGAATCGGCACCGGATACTTCACCTCGCATGACACACAAACGCACATATCCTTAAATCTACGTAATTCTAGTTAATCCTAACAAAGACACCATACAATATTTGAATTTTCTCTAGTAGAAAACACTGTAATCTAGATCAATCCTATGAACATACTCGGGAGCCTTCTAAAGAACTTGTAATAATTTTACATTTTTTACTACTCGATCGTCTTACTAATATTATAAATGCGAAAGTTCGTGAGGATCTCTTTTCAAAAGCTTCTGACCGGATTTTTATGAAATTCAATATACGAATAATACTAAACAATATGAACTCTAGGTACCACACGGGCGAGGCCGCAAGCGGAAAGCTAGTATTAAAAATGAGAGTTTGTGAGGATAGACTACTCTTTCACGCAAAAACTACTGAACGGATTTTGATCAAATTTTGATTTTGATAAAAGTAACATAAAGGAAAGAGCTAGAAAATGATAAAAATTAAATTACTCCTTAAAAAATACTAACTAGTTATACCTGCAAAACGCATTTTTTTATCTATTATCAATAGCTGCCATTATGAATCTACATGACATAAAATGTACAATTATTGCCCATAAAATGTTTAATATATTGATACTGCCATCAATATTCTTTACCTAATTACCTGTTCATATCTACCAACCTATAAACGTATATTGTCAGTTTCTAGGCACCGTAGTGCACTATAGTGAATTAATTATTGGGAATTCATTAACTACTACAAGCGAATACTTAATTAAGCGTAGAGCTCAATATTCTCTCAATATAATTTGAATATTAATTCTTCAAGAAATTATCATAATCTATCATTAAATATGACTTATCTTACTTAAAATTAACCATGACTTATCACCTTCAAAAGCATATGAACCTTATATAATTTATTCATAATATGTTTAGTATATGCTACTGGAGATATGAGTCTAGCTAGTTCATGGAAATATTGCAATACTGAAGAAGGAAAACACTGTCATGTGCTATGGAATGTATAATATAAACAATTCATCATCACTATAATTATAATGAAATTATTCCGCATAGTATATTAATGAAACATCTATCAAAGGAGCTTTTGCTTGCTCGCATTGATAATGTGTGTTATGAGTGTGATCATAAATAAATATTAGTGCTTAGCAGTGGCAATGTTTGTGGACGGACGTTTGCGCATAACCTAGTTCGCCATTGATGGGTCTTTTTTTGGGTTCCGTAGTAAATAAGTTTTTTTTTTATAGTTTCTCCATAGTCTGCGGTTTATTTTAAAAACTAATGGTACTAGAAAGTGGTAATTTGGCACTAGTTTACAGTCAATTGTTCAATCTGCCCCTACATGTAAAGTCAGGATGATATTTTTTTGACGTCCCCATAGTGTGGGGCATCGTTGGATTGGTGTCTCATAAACATCGTGGGTGTGGGAAAGCCGTTTTTCGATTTAGTAAACAGTTTGTTACTTATTGAGCTTTAAAAAGATAATTTTCGTTAGAGTTAAGGTCCCTCGCACACTCTACCAACTAAACGATCGTTAGTACAAATTCAAACGTTACGGCAGTAGTACCTATATATAACGAAATTAAAAGGAAAACTATCACACTTAAGTTGGCTTTAAAATTTACGAGTAATAATCGACCAGTGTATTTAACTCGAAATTTCGAACAACTCCACAGAAAAGAACAAACGCGATTTTTTAAACTTTTTTAATGGATAATGGTACCGAACCCTTCGTGTGCGAGTCCCACTCACACTTGGACGGTTTTTTTCGAATAATCAGGACACGCTCCTACTATGATCCGTACGGAGCAATGAGCGCATCGAGAAGTACAAAATAGCACGCATATAACAGTCGGGAACGGAGCATTGCACTTAGGCAGTCCACACATGCCCGAAGATACCAAACACTGCCATAATAAAATGTACTACATATTTTTACTAGGATTTAGAGTGATAATTATAAAACAATACTACATATTCTTTTTGTACTTTAGTAAAGGTTAATCATCTTTAAACAACTATCAAATATGGTTTTTCTGTTAGAGAAAATCGTTTAAATAAAAATAGACAGACCTAAATAAATAGTTAAAAAATATTTTGTTACTTATATTTCCTTTTCACTTATTGTTCAATGTGATTTCACTCAGTTATTTTTTTATTTCTTTTTGTATAATTTTCATAATTTAAAGCACCAAAAATGCCTTTCTGTATTTAAAAAGATGTTGCTAGTAACTATGGATAATTATCAGATATTTATCGCATAATTGTCATGCCAATTTTTGAATGAATTAATTACTATTGATAATATATTCGTGTCAATTCGCATGAAATTTTATTATTTAATAGTTTTACAATAAATCTTTCCTGAAATCTATTTTTTTGCAGTAATGAGGCTTTATATTTCTGATATATATTGATAAATTCTCAATTAATGGTAAAAAACTACTGATTGCCAATGTCTAGTTAGTGCATATAAAAATTGATCTAAAAAAAACATGTATACTAAATAATATTGTAATCAGTAAACCGTGTACATTAAGCCTTTTGGCAGATCTCAGCCGTGGGTTATACGGGCACGGGCGATGATCATTTTACGCGCCACGAGGTTCCGGGACCAATTTATCACTTAAAAGCTTCCGTTCGTTGCAACGGCTCCAAGACATTATGGACTGCTTTTTATGATGTTCTCAGAGCGAATAATCGTTTCTTGAAATAATACCGTGCCTTGATATTGAGCTCAGTTATTTTTACGGGGGAGATATTTTGGATGATACTATAGAGATGCGTTTTTTAAATTATATTTACCAGGTAGACATGGTATGGTATAAGAAACATTATGACCTACCTAAATAAAGTTGTTTATCCGTCAGCATATAGTAGATGCTCTGCTGTGATAGTGATAAAGTAATGCGAGACAAAGAACTCATTAAGTTAACTCGCCCGAGTGACGTGACATTTCCTTCGATGCCAATGCGTCCTCACCTCTAGGGTCACTAAAATCATTATCGCTTCCGCTCATTAACAAACAAGTCTAATGGTTATAAAACACGTTGTGACAATATCGGAATATGAATACTACACGCTTACACTGTATTGAAAAACTTTTAAATGGAGACAAATCTGTTGAGTATGTTTACACGGTAATCTAGTCATGGTTATGGGGTTGTTATTAGTTTTGTACAATGTTGGATTAGTCATTCATTCTTAAAATTGAATGTGAGGGGTGTAGCGGAAGGGACGTTCCGCGCGGGCGCACGCTTGGCGGAAATACATCCGGGACGCGGCGCGCCGCAGCAAGCAGAGCCCAGCCCTATACCAGATGGAACTTATGTCCTCCCCCGAAATTTAAATTTCGAACGGTACTGGCACAACGATTTCACCATTACGACGAAGAGTGAAACGAATGCTCATAGAAAAGGTTCTAAGAAACTATATTATGCCCCGAAACAGACAACGGGAGTGCCTATTTCACCTGTATTTTACCGTGAACACGGTAATGTATAGGTGTTTTTAATTAGTTAATTACACGTTACAGAAAACCGTGCACATAAATATTACAAAAAAAAAATTGAAATAGCGTACCTTTTGGTGCAAGGTAATTAGTTGGAAAGTTAATGAATGTTTCAGAAGGTATTACTGGTGCGAATTATATCCATAAATTAATAAGTTAATGTTATCAATTAACTCGTATTATAGCTATCCCCATATGAGTCATTATCAGTAATGAATAAAAGTGAACTTGATAACGACGACTACGACGACGTTCAATACACATTGAATAGGGCGTTAGTGGACTTCCAATTAACTATAATAAAAGGTCATTGAACCGTTGTCCCCTGGACATACGCCAAAAAATATAAACTAATTATATTACTAAGCTAACATATATTATAAATTTTAAGGAACAAAATATTAAAATATATGAAATAAAAAAAAAATAAAGACAATATTTCTGAATTAATATTCACAAGAGTAACAAAAAATACCTACCATCATCAAGGATACCTAATTTTTTTTTTATACTATATTATCGTTGCTGATTATGATTCTCTAATTATTCCTAATTCAACGTAACAAGCATGGGCGGGCAACCATTCATAGTGTGCAGGCCTTGACCTAATAAATATGTTTGCCCGCCGTGTATGCCGCAAACGGTCCCCAACCGATAACGCCGGAAGCTGGACGGACACCGGACAATGGATCCGTTATGACAATACATCAGGAACTGAACGTTCACGAAAAAAAACGTTCAATTTACTTTACAGAGGGGTGACAACAGGAAATTCAAAAATAGTAACACCGATTATTGAGTCAAGGACAAAAGTAACAGTTACTATTGACAAGCGCCATTCAAGTATTTTGTTAAAACTATGCCCGCTTTAACATCCTATTATATATTCGAAATTTCACACCAGTATAAATTTGACTTCTAATCTTACACTATAATATTTAAAAGTAATGAGTTTGCAGTTTGATTTAGTCATACCAGATATCATAATAATAATATCAAGACAGCTGTTGAAGTTACTGATACTATCTAAATACTAGATTACAAACTAACTTGAGAGTCCGTTCCATAGTGGAAGTGCGGAATATTTCCTCTTGATCAAGAGACAGCACGCAGTATATGTCCCGGTGGCAAGATCCGCCATGGCTGCGTCCTGGTAAATTTTTGGCTTCACCTGAAAAAAAACATAACGATGTTATTGTGCGGTTTATTGGTTCAAAATGACAATCCTTTAGCAGCTGGGTGCGTGGGGATTGTTTTTGCTTAACAAAAGACGGTTAAGTAGCGAATCAAATCAGATTAATCCGGAATTAATGGAAACCCTCTAAAACTTTCGTAATATAGGTATAAACATTTGCCAAACAAGAAGCAAGAAGCCCCTTACGTTCTTTATGCAGTTGTCCTAATAAATACTGTATCAAATAGGAGTATGTGGTGGGTAGTGATTTATCGTCATAGTGAAAGCGACGATTGCGATTACGAATTAATAAAAATCTTTATCGTTTAAAAACTATTAAATCATTACAAAAAAACTAATGGAACATTTTTCTGCCATCAATTTATCTCTTCATCCTGCAATATCGTTGTCGTCATAGCATAATAATAGATACAAAATTATATTAAGGATTCTGGGGCAGTGTCTATTTCATTAATTTATTTTCGGCATAGATATTAGGGGTTAAAGTATGAAATTGCTGTTTTATTGTAATAGGTTCCTTGAATTGACATAGAATCCTCATGGTTTCTATGATGATGATTCTTTTAAAAAATGTGAAACATTTGAATATCAACTTTCAATTGTTTTTTGAATACGAGTTCTGACGTGGTAGTAACACGACAGAAACAGCCCGCAATATCAATGTTGTTTGGAGAGGTTTAAAAAAAAAACTATTTTGATTTTCAGTACAAATTGGCAATTTCATGCTTTAACCTCTATTATTTATATAAACAATACGATAATTATAATATGCAAACCTCGAGTATTAAAATTAGTTGTGAGCAGTGCTGGGCTGACAACATGGGTATTTGTATTTTTCTCTATTTAATACTTATTCATTAATGAATTTCATTGATACTAACGGTTGACCTTGTACCAAAGATCAACAATCGTCACTAACTCAATAGTAATTATATGATAAGAGGCAGTATACAGGTAGATATTTAAACAACCTTGAATGAAATCAGTTTTAAGACTAAATAGATTAGTTAGACAAATCTCCATAAGAAGTTTCTTGTTTGAGAAACTACATTGTGAGCAATAGCAAATCTAACGAAATCCATTTACTATGAGTGCGAAAAACTCATTGCAGAGGCTATTGTGGAATAAAAATAATGATACACATAAAAGGAAGAGGCAGTGACGACTGTTGCGCAACATATCGCGACCTCGTCGGTTATGGCTTTTTAAGGAGAGCCAAGGTGAAACAGCCGGCCCATAAGAGACCAATCCCGTCACTTGGCCAAGCCTATTCTGGCCATTTCTGATCCTGCGACCTTACGGACAATTTTGTACCTACATAATTAGCTTTAGCTAACATTTGCTTTGACTTCTAATTAAAGTATAAGTTAGTGAAAACATCGAGTTTGTCTCTTGAGGAAAGTTAGCCTAGTACCTTTAGAATTTGCGCACCTCGCTGCGAGCCCTCGAGTTCATTACAGAATAACATATAAATTAAGAATGATATTATTGACTTATTGAGTACGTATAATATCGTAAGCATTACTTAATATAATTGAAGTTTACAAACTATGAAAGACATGGATTTTTATAGTGAAAAGATAAGATGGATTGAGATACATAACATACTTAAATTGTCAGACCCATATACCTATTAAAATAGGTGACGGGCCAGTTTAAAATAAGGTTTTCTATACGGTTTTCGGATTTTTTTCTTCTTTTACTAATGCTAAGCTCAGCTTCTTGGCAAATTTAATGGTTCTTGGTCAACCGAGTACCCCATTTTCTCGTACCAGTTTATAAATACATCACAAAGGGTTATCAGTTGAGTTAGAAAGTTAGGATTGCACGATTTCTAGACCTATTATATTCAAGTAGACTTTCATGATCACTTCTTAGAAAAAAGCAGACAACAAAGGTATCCTTCTAAGCGATCTTATTTTTCATTCCAAGATTCTCACGTAGACATCTACAGAGGAGTGGGGATATAGATGTTTATGTTTACAATACCTGCTTCGGAAGTTTTATTAATGTACAGTACTTATGATAACAACTTCCTTGTATGCACATAATACAATAAAACAAAGAGCATGACCGTGACCGCCCCGCTCTCTCATGCATACTAGAAATACCAGTGTACTTTCTTCTAAAATCCTAACATAGTAAACGCAAAAATGAAGTTTCCAAATCACATTGTAACTTTCACGAAATTTCCTAACGTAAATGACTCATTATTACGTACAACCGCAATTAGAAAGAATTCAAATTATCATAACCTGAGGCAAGATTATTGCCGCGATTGTTAGGGCAGCGAAACAAAGGAGATACAGACCTTCCTGCGGCCGTAGGCTCCCACAAATTCGTCGTAATTGGACTGCGAGAGAAACTTGCAATAAACTGTACATAATTGCTGATGCAAAAACAACCGTCATCATCATCAACATGACAGTAACACACGCCACCTAAGTGGATCGTGGGAGTGAAACGGGAACCTTTGAATCAGTCACTGAGGAAACGAATACGTACCAAGCCAGCTACTATGTGGCCACAATAGCGATCATTAAGGTGTTTCCACACTGTGCGTAGTGCGATTGTTTCGAAATCGAGAGTACGTTAATATCACAAGCCATGAGAATAAATTGTTATAAGTATTTTCTACGTCGACAGTGACATTATTTATTTATTTATTTTTTTTTGCTTAGCTGCTTTCAAACACATGTCACTCTGGTGTAATAAACGGGAATGACAGGAAGCATTAAATTTAAGCAATTACGCAATTCCTAGTGTATTTCGCACAACTTTGCTGCATCAACTCATGTTGATTGTTTAATTATACGTACGCCATGATAGGGCCATTATTACTAGCCTCGTCATTGTAAACGTAATAACATGATAATAATTCAAATTAATATTAAGCAACATAGAATGAACGCTTTATTTCCTAGGAATTAATAATACTTCCACATACCACTTCGTTCTGTAAACCACGACATGTATTAGTTATACGAACATTACAATACTGATGTTTTTTGTAAACAAACAACCACTATAGGAAGTAACTATGATTTAATAGCTAAATTAGTCACAAATACCTATTAATAATTATTTTTAACTTTTAAGTACAGTTATTATCCTAAGAATGTGTTTAAAGGTAGGCAAGTAGGCTTAAAGGCTGGATAACATAAACTAGGTCCTCACCCACATACTAATGACAATTCAAGTCTGCAGGTGTATTGCGAAAAAAAAGTATTCTCGTTATACTTGTGTTGCCTTATTTATTCTGTGACGAAATTAGTTTTGTAATATTTGCAAGTTCATTGAAGCTGCCTGTTCGATGGGCGGTTGCTGTTTATTTTTGTTTTAACGTTTTGTTCTTTTTGCGAAAGTGGTCGTGGTATTCGTGCGTATTGTGCCCTCCTTGCGTCAATGAAGTTAAGTACGTGTATAACATTCAGTTCGCCGCGAACAATTATATTGCTACCGATATGCTTACGGTAAACGTAATTTGCTTTCTCATCTTGTGATGGTAACTCCCACAAAGAGCGCAATGCCACAAAAGCTATCTATTATATGGCCGACTTCTGAATTGAGATAATTATAAAATCTAATCTGTTGAATCTAATCTGTGAACTTAAGATTTTTACGCTTCACGAGGCAAAAAGTCCTAGTTTTAAAAACATGTTTAAGTTACGTTTAAGTACAGTTTGAGACCTGCTTAACTTTAATCAGAACTAAGTGGAGTACTAAATAATGATTTGCTTTGTTAGTCATTATAAGCAGAGTTCGACGATAATATCACGATAATTCCATTGATATATTTCATGATTTTTAATGCCTTATATATCCAATTATTTTATTCAATACAATTAATTACTTCGATTCTATAGCCATCGCCACAAAGTTGCTGCCAGTTGTATTTTTAAACACAGTGAAATAACATATTTGAAAAGACCATTGCAGTATGTTTTTTAAACAACTAGACTAATAATAAGTACATTGATTTCCTACATATATTTATCATCAATGTAAACAAATCGGCCAAGAGCGAGCATTAGAAGTATCAGTTTCAAGGGACTGACGACCAGGTTGGGTAAGTCTTTTCGCATATAGGTAGTATGTATAAACTTGTAATAAAATCTTTCTAGCTAACATACCATTTGTATCTGGCTGGTTTCGGTATCATTAAAAAGTTTAAATTTCAGAGAGGATAACTCCGAATTCAAATTAGGAAACATATTTGTTTTTCTTACTGTCAAAATTGTTGAATCTAATGAAGAAATTCGATACTTTTTTAAATTTTATTACAACAAAGGTAAAAATCAACGCAAGTGCAGTGCAGTTTCTGTGAGAATAGCACAAATTTAGTTTAAGCGTTTTCAGTACGGAAATTTTGATGTCAAAGATGCACGTCGCTCCGGTCTCCCTGTTATGGTTAGAATAGATGCAATTTTGGAATAAGTGGAGCAAGATCGGCATATCAATAGTTATGACGTAACTGAAGAACTGGGGATTGACCACAAAACAGTTTTGGCGCATTTGCAAAGAGCTGGGTACACAAAAAGTTAGATGTTTGGGTACCTCACGAGCTTACTGGCATTATTCATTATGATTTGTTACGGCCAGGCAGGACCATCGTTTCTAAACTCTACTGCGAACAACTGATGAGATTAAAGCAAGAAGTTGAGAGAAAGCAGCCAGAATTATTCAATAGGAGAGTGATTTTTCATCATGATAACGTTAGATCTCACGCATCTTTTGCCACTCGGCAAAAGTAAGAGTTTTCTGGGAGATGTTAATTCATCCTCCGTTAATGCATATCTGACTTTGTACTTTCGACTTCCACCTGTTTCGGTCTCTTCAGAATTCATTAGGCAGTGTCACGTAACCATAACGCGAACACTGCCAAAACAACCTATCGCGGTTTTTTGATCAAAGACCTACAAGATGGCAAAAAGTTATCGAACAAAATGATACCTACAAAAACTTTATTAAAAATT